GGCTTCTTTAAATTTTGTCCTCAGTTCTTCTCTCAGATTTTATTCACACATCTTTAAAAGATCTCCTCTGCTGCTATCAGATGTCTCACAATATCTGCAGCAGCCCTTTAATCCAGAAGGGTTTGCAAGTCTAAACTCTATCGACCTATTAGGTTTAGCTTTCACAAATTGATTTAATTCCGAGTAAACACTGCCTCATAATTTGTTACTCCAATTATCTAGCTCTTGCTGGTTCTTAATAACCTGTAATTGCTGATTTAAATCCAGCAATATTTTATTACCTTTTGTGAATGAGGAGTATGAGGGAGAGAGGTGCCTTTATATCACAGTTTTCCTAATAAACCTGCAGGATAGGTCTGAATAATGCTAAACAACATCTATCTCCCAGTAAAGAGAAGCTTTCTTCCTTTAATCTCTCGAAGAGCCCATTCAAAACTACATTTATACTGAAATGGTTTTCATGTATGCTGCTTATGTGACAAGAGGCTGAAGTATATGGTACTTGTGCCCCTCTCTTCAGTGGTATATAGTTTAGCTTCTGTATACGGCTGACAAATAGTTGCCATACAGACTGTTATAGTATAAAAGGACTGTTTACAACCTCACTTTGAAAATTGTATCTTGAAGAAGAACAATATGACTGAGCAGGATAGACACTTAATCTTATTACTGCGCTGTCTTATGCAGAGTACTTTCAGAACACCGTATTCATCGCATGAAACTATGGTGGCACAATGGGATGTAGTATTCAGGTCATGGAAACAATAGATAAAAGAAATGTAGGACAACGAGGTTTGGCTTTTGGCTCTGCTTAGGTGTGCCTCTCTGAATGTCTGGTTTATTAACTCAATTTACTCTATGAAACATAAAAAAACTCATACTGTCTCACTTTAGTTAAAAGTTTCAGTACCCGATGAAAGTCTGCCCTGGCCTAAAAACTGCAAATAAAGCAAGAGAGTGTACAGGAGCTTTTTCTTATTGACTTTGAGTTATCCTCATCCTTTGCGTCTCTCACACAATCAGGTGTGCAGAGATTTTTTTTCTTCAATATTTCTCCACGAAACATTATCTTTGATTGGTAACATCCTGCGTCAACAAGATACCTAATGTATCTGATGTCATCTACAAGGTATCCAGACTCCCTCCTCTCTCCAGATGCTGCCTGGTTGCCGTGTGGCATCTTTATTCTTTACTGGTGTTAGTCTATTGCTGCTTTCCCCACTCACATTACGCCTCCATACTGTTTCCATAGCAATGCTATTATTGAAATGATGGTTTTCTCTTGTTACCACTCTTCACTATCAAGTGTTCATATCTGAGATTTTCCAGCAGCTAAAAACGCCGCTCTCTTCGACAAATAGTAAATTGTGGTTCAGGCAGTGTAGGAGTAGATGCTTATTATATTGAGCAAGTCTGAAACAGCTATTATGTCACGCATCGAAGACTTTTTGGAAAGGAGTTTACAAGACGTGAGGCTATGCAATTTCACACCTACAAATTCTTTGTTAGTGTGCTTTTGTGGCCCAGGCACATATGTTTCAGCGTTTTGTAATTTTGTTGGTGATTATAAAGAAAAAAAATAGGACGCCGTTACGCAAGGACCATGATTGACACAGTGTTGACCTCCAGGCCAAGATTAATCTCATCACTCTATGGCAACAGTATCCTTGACCAATGATCTACTCTGGCATTGTGTAAACTGCTCAAATGACACGAATGATAGAGGAAGAAGTGATGTATGACACTCTGTTGGCAATCATTGGTTGTGTACACACACACACACACACACACACACACACACACACACACACACACACACACACACACACACACTCCACTGAGGATGCCCTGCAGTTGTTGTATATCCACACATACATTTAGCCCTAATAACACAGCAGTATGTTGACATTTACAGGAAAGATATGCCTTAACAACATTTAAATGCTATATATTTTTTTGATAACTTTCTCTTGTACTTACTGCTCTATCTTTTTTTAAAATACAATTGCACAAAACTAATCTGATACGCTTTAGAGTGCATCAGATCTCATAAATAACATCCTCCCTGCAGCTGTTCATGATAGTTTGGTCCACAGCACCGAGTACAGCACAGTCCTATGGGCAAGGGATGAGCAAGGATCTCTCATCTCTGATGCTATCCTGACAACTTGCGTCATCACACTTCAGGCAGAGCCACAGACAAGGGCATACAGTATGTACTGTATTGAGTGCACACTGTTGTCTAAATAAAACAGGATAATATTATTTGTTTACTGTATTACCCTGTTTGAACTATCCTCTGTATGTCAACAACTGGGCATGTTTCTGACAGAGCTGTCATATGGGTTCACCCGTCAGCATTGTCCTGATAGGACAGCTGAGCCCGAGGTCAGGTTGTGGCCATATCTCAGAACTAGCTGTTCTGAGGACCCTGAAAATATGACCTTATCTGTATATCTCATGCTTTGAAACTTTGCTGAGGTTTGGCGCTTTTGGACTTTTTAAATGCATTCAGTAGGAGTTAAGAAATACAATTCTAACAAGATTTGATTATTCCCCTCATCCCCTGTGAGTACAGTAAAAAGTTTTGCAGCTGTTGTTACAGAGCGGCAGAGTCAAATTCGAAATTAAACATAAATGCTTGTATTGATTGCTGCTGAACTACAGTGCTGTTTATTGGGTAATGGAGCATGTGCAGTGGGTCATATAATTTAGTCAAACACACCCCATGATCGGTATTGGCATCAGCCTGTAATTGGTTGACCTCTATTATTGAGCACAATGTTGTATCAACTAAATTTTGTGATGAAACTCTAACTGGACTTCACACTACAATGAGACGAAAGCTCAAGCTTTCTGTGCAGATTTGAAAGGTCTGTTTGAGATTAAATGAGCAATAATAACCTTGAGTTTTTAATTCTTAGAAGTCAACAACTCGCAGTTGTGAGTTCATTGTGTTCGCTCGCTAACGTTTCCCTTATCAGCTAAGGCTGGTGCGAATGTCATCAGTCCAACAGGTAGAGTGGCTCAAGTCTTGTTGTAGAAAAGTTAACTCCAACCTGATGGTATAGAGCAGTCATCAAAGTAAATGCACGGTGAGTTTTTTTTTTTTTTTTTTTGCTTTAACCAGTATCAAGTTCAAATCAGACAGAGACTGGTGTTGCTGAAGAAAAGTTCAAGTGATTTCTAGAGTCATTAGAGTTAACCTCCAAGGACCATCAATACCCCAAAATTTTGAGAGTGGTTGTCCATCCAATTACAGTTAAGATAAAAACTGACATCGGAAATAAAAACATGGACAGCTGGTCGCTGTGCCATCTACAGGATAAGTAGGGGAACTTTTCAAATGGCGGAACATTTTCGAAGTGAAACCCGAATCTTATTCTCCACAGTTTATTTCTGAAAATATCGCCAAGTTTTTGCCGATTTACTGATTAGTCTGAAACGGGCTAAAATTGGCCAATTTAATCGGCTCACTGATAAATCGGTCGGGCTCTAGTTGGTGGTTTAACTTTTCAGGTTTTTCAGTATGGGACATTAATCTTTTTTATTTAACAACAAGTATTAGTAGTAGTAGCAAGTAGAAAAACTGTAGACATTTACACCACACGTGCAAACACGACAAATGCTAACCATGCACAAAAGCATGCACGCAAATTGAGACGATTAAGGAACCCTGCAGCTAAATGCTCCATTCACCTCTACTTGACACCTCTTTGTGGATTTACTAGATTGCACACAACACTAAGCACCCACATAACACACACACACACACACACACACACACACACAGACATGCACACGCACATGCACGCACAATAATTCTTTATACCCAGGCAGACACACTCACACTATAATCAAATGTAAACACATGCATTAATTCCCTCCAGTCTGCCCTGTGACACACCAGCCTGCTGCTGTTAATTGTTTTCTTTCTGGTTCTGATCTTTGCTCACCTCCCCCACTCTCATCCATCCATCTTCCTCTAGCTTTTTTTTATTTATGCCCCCTGTGGGTGCTTTATATCCTGCAGGGAAAATTAAAAAATAACGAATGCCCGCAAATATATGGTCTTGTTTTTTGTAGCTCTTGTTTTTGTTAATTTTTCTGCACTGTGGCATTCACTTAATTTTGTGTCCATGTGTGCACATATGTAAAAATTATATGACATGCTGTGATTTGAACAGATAGTTCACCTATTGCAGTATGTATGGTTTAGCGTAAAAAATGGTGAATTTTGATGTTCAAGCAAAGAAGCGCAGTGTGGCAGAGCTCCAGAAATGGGATTTATATCACTACTACAGCTGAAGGACACAGAGCCAACAGTTATTAGATATTTATAGAGGATATAGTTTAGAAATAGAAAAATAACCAGGATGAAGTAATAGAATTATATATAATGTAGTTCAATGGGTAAGAGAAAGGATAAAAAGAGGAACAAACCTTTAAAGGCAGGTTAGCAGGTTAGAAAATAGAGTGAAAGGTTGGGTTATAGTGATAGAGTGGGAGCTAATAAGAGAGACAGAGTGTGGGAGTAGGTGAGAGAGTGAAAGAGAGAGAGAGAGAGCGCTGTACTGCACCACATGCCTCTCAGTCCACTTAAGATGCGCTGTCGGTGAAATTGCTGCCCAACAGGAGAGAGAAAAAAGGAGTGGAGCATTCAACTATTGGAAAAATATCAGTCACGTGAGAGAGAAAGAAGAAGAAGAAAAGAGGGAAACTGGGGCACAAGCATATTAGTAGCATGCAAAAATTCTGGCAGGCAACAGCCATGGATCATTGAGGAGAGTGAAGAAGAAGCAGCAGCAGAGGAGAAGAAGGAGTGAGAGGATGGGAAACAGAGCTGGAGTGTGACTGTGCACCCTGCCAGGACTGCAGACTGACTGACATCCCTTTTTCATCTCACCACTGTGCCACTGTGCACTGTCTCTTTATCCCTGCTCTGACCTTACCCCCCCCCACCCCCCACCCCATGCTTAGCTCCCTCTCTCTCCTCCTCCAGTCAGACCAGGGAGAGCAGAGCGCATGGGTTGCATCCCTCTCTTTGCTCTGCTCTCTGCGTTCTCCTCAAATATTCTTTCTGCAGCCTCCTGAAAACCTATTAGAATTCCCTGAGCTTGGCATCAGAGGGAGGACACCTAAAAGAGAGGAAGCTGGACAGAGGATAACTTGGGGATCCTGCAGAGAAACGGAGGAGTCTTTTGTTCCTTTCAGGCTTTTTGATGTTTGCCTTTTCGGCTGCCTCACATCTACAAGGAAAGACTTAAAATGGGAGACTTATGAGGGTGAAAAAAGACAGAAAGCCTTCGCAGCCTTCTCTTTTTTTCAAGAAAGGAGGTGATGCTAATGGAGACAGCATCTAAAAGTGAGCAGCTGAAGACCAAATCCACTTCCTGAGAGAGTAAAATAGCTGCAGAAGTCAAACAAGAGCCTGAACACAGACATCTAAGAGACTTCAGCTTCCCCCTACTTGTCTCTATTCGCACTCCTTCAGTCCCATCTGTACTTTTTTTCTCTCTGCCTCTGCTGTCCTGACATAAGCTCAGCCATGCAGGTGTCTATCGCCTGCACAGACCACAACCTGAAGAGAGGGAATGGGGACCATAGCAAACAGAGCGCCACGAGTCCCAACGTGGTGAATCAAGCCAGGGCGAAATTCCGCACCGTGGCCATCATTGCTCGAAGCTTTGGTTCCTTCACCCCCCGACATATTTCACTGAAAGAGTCAACGGGGAAACACACTGGCATGAAGTACAGGTGTGTGCCAGAGCCAGTCTGTGTCTGTATGTGCGTGTGTGTGTGTGGGCTTTTTGTATGTGTTTGTTTTTGATGCGCAGAGTTCAGTAACTGTTGGGCATGTTTCTTGGAGAGCTGTTGTTTGGTTTTGTAGTTTTGGCACGTACTGCTTCATGTTTCTTCTTGCATTTCTTTTTACATTCGCACCACCTCGGCTGCCACAGCTTCATTTTTTTAATTAATTTTTTGAAGCATACTGCTCAATTTTTCACTACAACCAAGTTTTCTAACTAGTAGTGGGTCTGCTGTATCACTCCTTTGTTAACGGGTTAAACAACTTTAGGCTGTCAAACTTGACAAAGTCACCCAAAAATGTTTGGTGTGAAATTAACCAAGGCTGATCAACTTAAAGTGGTATTGTATCATGATCCAATAAAGGTCCTTACACACCGGGAACGATGCAAGCATACGACTCAAGCTTCTGTAATGTTCTGAGGCGAATTTTGACGCACCTGACTATACACACCAAGTGCGATGCGATTTTGCGACTTTCAAGGGGGGAAAAAATATGCGTCCCGGGTGGAAGCGAGAAGACTGACACAACAGCAGACTGACTGTTTTTCAGTTCTGCTTAGACACTAGTGTTGAGATGTCTGTCTGTCATGATAGCATGTACTGAGTCGGAGCCAGTACCAGATAAGCACATTAAACTATAATCCATAAACGTAAGGTAACAACTGAGACCTAATGGTGCTGTGACAGCAACGTGATTTAGTTTGAGACAGTGAAAATACATATGGTATGTTGTATCTGAACAGGTTAGCTTACGAGCTAAAGTTACTTAGCACAGATGAAAGTTAAAACAAAGACGTTTAGTAAACTGTTAAAGCACACAAACCATCGTCATATGAGAGATCCAACACTATGACTCTCCACAAGTTGTCCTTCAAGTCATTATCTTTGTAATGTTTGTGTTTTTTCTTTCAAAAAGCACTCTGTTCTCCGACACGTAAACATTAGCCGGTCGGCCATGTTGGATATACCGGTGAGTCAGACGTCGCAACAACACGAAATCTGATTGGTCAGAAGTGGACACACAGTATGCAAAACTTTAGAAAATTTGACTGTGATACCCAAAAATAAATGCTGCAATATCGCAGGATGGGAAAACGTCGCTGATGTGAACGCTTGTATTGACAGGATAGACATTCGGAAAAAAATATTGACGTCCGAAATAATCGCACGAAAAAAAAAAACGCCCCCGGTGTGAAAGGATCTTAAGAAATAAGACTTATTTAGATTTTGATTTACACACAAGAAAAGATTTGTCCAGCATTGCATATGTTTAGTCAATTAATAACATTTTTTTCTATTTGCTTGTCTACAAATTTATCAGTTATTAAGGGAAAACTGTGAAACCCCAAACCAGTTTCTCATTTACCATGATTGATCTGTGATAACTGTCTAATATTACTTCGATAAAGCCCCTCACTAAACACACTGAGACTATCTACTATCACATAACTGTAAAACCACTTAGCACAGCCCCTTGGGGAGTTAATTATGAATAGATTTTAACACTGCTTCTGTCAATGCAGCCGTGAATCTTGCTGATAACTAAAAGCCCCAAAATGACCCGTCCCTGCCTTGTTGTCCTCTCACTCTCATAATGTGGGATTCAATAAAACCATAACAGCCAGTTGAATCACAATTGTGGATGAATTTGATCAGGAAATCACAAAAAACAACAAATTGATGCAGGGTATCACAGGCAAACCTGACAAGGGTGATAAATGAATACCTTCTGCTTGCGCTGCGAGTTTTCTGACATCTGCTGCAGCTTCTGTCTGTTCTGTCTATCACTCTGACTCCTCTTCTTCCTTTTTCCTGGAGTGTTTTTATGCATATTTCACACATTTCATGTTTACCTGTCAGTTACAAATGAATCTGAACCTCTGAACGACACTTTGCTGTTTTTAATTTTATAGATTTACATAAACGGATGAGGACCGTTCTGCATTCGCCTCTTTCAGTCCAGCACAACTTTACACTTTTCTGTCTCTCTGTCTCCTCTCTTTTCCTCTCTGTACTTCGGTGAGACAGCTCTGCAGTGTGGGCAGAGTGTCTGAGTCGGACTTGACCTCAGCAGTGCTGTTACTCAGCTGACTTGTGCTTTTGACTCTCATGCCTCGGGCTGTGAATTACATAAAATACAGCGCCATTACTTTCATTTAAAGCTCTTCAGATCACCGTAAATAAGACAGGGTTCTAAGTTTGTCAGCATGTATTTGAAGAACATATTTTTGGTACGCATAGAGAAAAAGAAAGTAAGAGATTTCAGGCATCAGGTAACATATTTGATGGTGATTTTGCTCCTTTGATGCAGGAGTATTCTGATGCTATGGGACCTTCTGAATAAGTCTTTTTCCCTGAACACAAAGCTGGGATGGCTGCGACACTCCTCGAGGCTATCTTAAGACTGGCACTCAGACAAGACTAACATTACATACTGTCCAGTCTCAGCAGCTGTCTAGACTTGTGTAATAGAAGTTGGCTGTGATGCTGGTTGACCAGTAATGAGAGCTGGCTGACAGGTGAGCGGCATATCTGTGCCATCATGCCACTCTGCATTACAGACAGCTTCCCTGGCTGGTTGAGACAGCGAGTAAACATGCCTGATCCAAAAAAGAGAATAAAGCATAATGAGCTTTGACGGGTGACTTTGAGCTGCATGTGGGTAAATGACCCTGATAGTTAAAAAAAAAGACATTTCTTCATTTTGACGTAAAAATGTTTCATTTCTGTGTTCCTGCCATCCTTTAATGTGTAACATAACACATGTGTCAGCATTACTTTGGAGTGCTGGTCAGAGGAGAAGGAGTCAAAGCCGTGGTGGTTTTGTAATATAAATTCCTTCAGACAGAGATGACTGACTGATATGTCAGACATTTCAGTGTTATGTGAAATGACATGTGAAGACTGAAAACTTATTACGCTCTTGTCATGTCACAGTTTTGAGTAATAATATTACTAAGTGTACATTTTTGGACTTCACCTTCTCAGGGAGTGATGAGATGTCCTGCCATGAGATCTTGCCGGAACAAAGCCTGGCAAGATTTCTTGTGGAGGTGAAAAGCTGTCTTAGATGATAGGTTACAAAATCCAGGAGCCATTTTTAAATCAAAACGTGATAAATTGATTACAACGGCAATTTTCTCTTGGAGATTTAACTATGAACATTACATTGTTTGACCCCAGTATTGACTCTTGTCTTGTCACACCCTAGATACTTCCACAAATATTTGCAGCTCCGTGCAGTAATAATGCAAAAATCAGGAGTGGAAATTTTACTGCCTGCCCTTCCCAAAAAATAGAGAGGTAAAACATCATTAATGGAGAATATTCTCAATTCTTGCACATCAAATATTCCTGGGGAATACGCAGTTTCATTATCTTTTATTTTCAATGCCACACAACAAACATTTTGTGCTGTGTTTGTGATGTATAATATATCAGAGCTGTGGACAAGCCTGATCCATCATGTAGGAATAAAAAGTGCTGCAACAGGAAGATGTTGTTTAAACATTATTTATTGTTTTAACAATACAACTTAACCTGAGCAGAGATCAATTATACAGTGTATCATGTAGAATAGCAATATGATTGACCAAATAACTTAAACAAGGGTCACAGATAGTTAAGATGCTGAATCATAAAACACAGACCAAGGCTACACCTAGAACATATGGTGCTGAAACAAAGTTCCCTCACTCCTTCTCGGATTGTCTAATTGAAAAACAATGGTTTATTACATTATTATTATTTTTTTCAAGACTTAAAAAATGTTTTTTTTTTGTAATCATAGCATACATTTAATTAGTTGATAAGTACAACAGTTTAAAAAAAGTTAAAAAAGTTAAAATAAAAGCTCACACCAACACCTAAAAATAAACACACACACACACACACACACACACACACACACACACACACACACACACACACACACACACACACACACACACACACACACACACACACACACACACACACGTGCGGAGGCATGGAAACACTATGGAAACAGCTCTTGCTGCTTTCAGAATACAATAGCATATGCCAGTGCTGTCCTCCTGTCAGTTTGTCATTGAGGTTCAGCAGACTGATGACGGTGAAAATTACCTCTGACTATAGACATAGATAGGTTAGATTTCTCCTCACAGCTGTAGAAACAAAGGGAGAGAAGATATAAAGAAAGAAAGAGGGGGATGAAAACTGTATGTGTGTGTGTGGTTATGTGTGAGTGTGTGTGCGCTAATCACTCAACACTGCATTGTCTTCTGCTGATGGTAATACTGTGAGTCAAACAAAGTCACTTCTCTTTTTTTCTGCTCTCTCTCTCTCCTGCTCGCTCCTCCTCTCCCATTCTCTCTTTCTTTGTGTAACAGGAAGTGAACCCAAGGTTGTGCGCGCCATCTGCTGCAGTGTAGGCAAATAAGTACAGGTTCGAGATACAGGTGTTGTTTTGTTTTTGGTACAGACATCCTTTGACGTCTTAAAAAAAGAGATTATAAAATACAAAAAAAATGTAACACATATTGGCAATCCACATGATTAGAAATCCAGTCCACAAAATAAAAGATGCAAGTTGCTGCATTTAGTCTCCGGTCTGCTTTATGTAAGTCCAAAAAAGTTCCCATGAGCTCATCCCATCTTTGTCTTTGCCTCTCATTCTACAAAGCTTAGCTTCACAGGATTCACTATTGCATCTGAGCTCATTCAATTAAAGTTAAAGATTTCCTTTAGCTCCAGACTTCGTAAACATCTCCATCAGTCAATCAGTCAGACAGGTGGAAAGAGACACTCTGGAGGAAGACGGAGAAAAGAAGTAGAGTTTCATCCCTCTTACTAAAGTAGTTAAGTATCATGCTGTGATATATCTACCGTACACTTGTATTGATTAAGACACCCGGGTGCAACTAGCTCCCCCTGTCTTCTCCTGCATAGCTGTGTGCTGAGATAATGAACGCTCTTTATTAGTCAGATTCTTCAGTTTGGCAGCATTTAAAATGCATAAGATCTGCAGTGATATTTATGCTGCTGCCTCCTTGTTGGATTTGAATTTCTAAACAAATTTCTCAAATCTCTTAAGATTAAATTAAAAGCCGTATCATCTCAAATTAATAATCCGATAATCCTGTAATAATCAATCTGTTTTTTTATATGCATGTTTGTAGTATGCACCCCTTGTTTGATACTTCTTGTTTTTTATAGTTCTCCTTGGTCAACTCATATTTTATGCAAATCACAATACATGGTTTTTAGTATTCTTTTCTCTTAGAATATGTTTTTATAATGTTAAATAAGGTTTAAGATCAGTATGGATGAATACTGGGCTATGACTCCTAAAAGTCTCTTTTAAATTGTTCATTTATATGTCAAGACCTTTAATTTTCCATCAGAGGTTGATACCTCCTACTGTAACATGAGCTGCCTTCCTGTTTTATGTAATCGTATAGCTCTTTATAGCAGCAGGCTACCTGTTCTCGAGTTACTCAGCACACTGCGAACTGAAACAAGAGAATAATGTTAATAGCGTTAAAATGGCATGTCTCCATTTAGTAATGACAAGAACAACCAATCTGTCTGAAAGCATTGGGTAAGAGCTCGTAAGAAGTTAGCTTATAGCAAAGCGTGTAGAGTAAAATGAGATAATGACAAAAAAACACAAGGTTATGTGTTAATTAACTGTTGGCCCTGTGGTCCATTAAGGTGTTATGAAGTGGATGATCCGTGTTCTTTAGAAGAGACTCCACTTTCCTTGGTTTACATCTCTCCAACACATTCTCCAGTGAGTCTAACCTGATTCCAACCACAGAGCCAGCTTTTTCCACCAGTTTGTTCAGACGTCTTGCATCTTTGTGTTTGATTCTGCCTACTGCAGATGTCCATTGATCAGAATCTTCTCAGGCAAAAGAGGCGACTCTGCCCCCTTTTGTATGTGAAGCTTATGTTCTTAGACCAGAACAACTTATTATCCGGTTGAACACCAAAATATTTATGCAATGTCACCACCTTGATGTCCATGCCCCAAATGTTCAATGGCTGAAGAGTGGGTTTGGATCTGTGAAGGTCTATGATCATTTCCTTTGTCTCTGAGGTGTTGAGTAGGAGGCAGTTTTTGTGACTCCAGTCACTGAAGGCTCCTATCAGATCCTTGTATTTGGCTTCTTGTCCATTTCTTATACACGCCACGATAAAAGTGTCATTCGAGTATTTCTGGATGTGACAGGGCTCTTTTGGATGTTTGTTGTCCAGATCTTCTCTATCTCCATGAAAGGAGCTTTCTTTGAATAAACTCTTCTCCCATCCAAAATATCCATCAGCAGCCAACAAAACACAACAAAAATGAAAAAAAGGGCAAAAATTGCAGAAAATTCAGAGAGATTAGATTTTGCAGCCACTTGGTTGAGCTCAGGTTCTAGAATGGCTAGGTTCTATGATGGCTAACTCTGCAGATTAATTTTATGCTGTGTTTGAGTTACCTTGGAAGTCAGAAGTCCAAGCTGGGATGACGTCATACCCAAGTTACCAGCGTAAGTCAGAAGAAAGCAAAATTGGAGGCAGAAACAAGATGGCTACATCCACAAAAGTTACTTTAATGGAAGGACATAAGCAAGGACAAGGCAAGTGCTAAAATAAGTTTCGTAGATGTAGCTATCTTGTTTCCACCTCTGATTTTGCTTTTTTCCGACTTCCGCTGGTAACTCGGGTGTCACGTCATTCCCAGCTTGGACCTCTGACTTCTGAGGTAACTCGAAGATGTGGCAGATGTGAGAAATTTGAGGTATTTGATAGATTACAGCAGCCAGAGATAGTCATTTAACCTAGTTATTTTCCAGTGAAAGGTTTTACCAACAACAAAACTCAAAGCCTTACAGTTCTTAAAAATGTCAGTCACTGGTTATCTCCTAATGACCATCATAAAAAGAAAATCTCAGGCAGGACAAAGATCAATTGGAATGACATTTTAACATGTGCTGCACTGAAAAAATCAAAACAAAACCCCCAAAGCCTTGTGAATACTTCGCAAGTATCAACATGAGCCAACTCATAAACTGTTAATTTGGCAGAGGAGGGCTGTCGGCTCAGCTACTGTACATACCCTGCTGAGAGCTCGCACAGTAAAGTGGTGTTAAAGGCCAGATTAGCATCTACTGCAAGTGTCTGTGTGTTGTACCATTCTGCGGAGGTGGTGTGAACGTGTTCTGTGTGTGTATGTGTGTGTGTGTTAATGTGAAAGACTGAAGTGTCAGTTGTAATGAGGACTTTCATTAATCTTACATTTTGCTGTTAAAGTGATTGTAGCAAAAGCAGATGTCCCTGTGTTTGTGTGCATGTCTTCTAAGCACATAGCTGCTTTTTATTTTTACACTGCTTTGCTCAACAAATCAACAGTCAGTCACAAGAAAAAGGGGACAATAATAATAATAATAATAATATTGAATAAATGAAGGAATTTATTGTGCCTGCAAGTTGTGTTCCCAACCAAAACACAATAAATACTCAACAGCCCTAACCAAGCATTATCTCTGCTTGTTGCTATGGTAATCATGTCCTTGGCTCTGTAGTGCTATCATTCAACACTTCAAAAGACTACACACACGCACGAACACATGCACACGTTCACAAGTCAAAGATACTTAAGCCTATCTATAAGCCGTAGTTTTGGGCTGAGCAGGTAACTTCAGTGGAACAAATGGATATGGAAACATAATCGGATGTTATCTTAAAAGAGAAGAAATGATTCAGTTGTGATTTGGTGGAAATAAGCAGAAGGTAAAATACTATTTTACCTTAAAGATTTAGTGAGAGATGATGCACCCTCATTGGAAAACATGGGTTAAACATTTTTAAACACTGATTAAAGGTATGATATAAAACTCCCGATAAGCCCTTGCACAGAGTTTTGCCATATTTGGACTGTAAACAAATCGATTCATGCTTTTTATACACACGTAGAGAAGATTGCAACTTCTTTATAAATACCATCTCAAAAAAATTCAAAATGAAGATGAAATAATAAAATAAAATAAATTACGCAAAAATTTATTCTGATTTAAAAGTAAAAATATGGCATATGAATTTGCTTTTACACAGCATCTATAAGAAGTAAAAGAAATCATACTCAGAGGTCTGCATAAACACTTTTAAAATCCCCCTGACCCCTGCTTGTATTTTGGCGTAGGGCTATGTTTATTTAGTAATTTCTCAAGTCTTCTGACATAACATGTTGCATTCACTCCAAATTCACAAACTGGTAGCAGAGGCTGCTGTGTAAAGCACCATCAGTATTTATTAATCCCATTTACACATCGATGGATGCATAAATAAGGTCTAAGTGTGCTTTACTACTATAAATTTTAGGGAGTCTGTGTGTGATGTAAAGTGTAATATAATGTTGACTCTAGAGAGATGATGAATGATGTGTATTTTTAAACTGTTGAGCTTCATTTCCACAAGGATACGGGAGCAAAGCTGTGTGTGTAACTCTGCTGTTATTGTAGCAGCAACTTATTAAGTTGTCCCTCCAGAGGTGAAAGAAGCTTGAATTTGAAGTTGTAATATGACTGTGAACATGAAACTTTAAGACAAACTTACATTATTTTTCGTGCATGCTGATGAAATATGAGCCAAGAACAAAAAAAACCCATTTATAACATACATATATACCTGGATGTGCATGGCTATACTGTGGGGGAGAGGGACTCAGTGTGTGTTCTTATCCATATGAAGCCCCTATAATTGACTTTGGTTTCCATGGAGATTTGACTGACTGCAACTCTAAGTACAGTGTGCCCTGTTGTGTGGGCTTATCTCTACGTGTGGTGGAAATTTTTATGGCACTGTTTATCAGTAGATTTGGTCTTTATGGTCTCAGAAATATTGCAGTTTTATGTATAGATATATGAAAAGTCATATAGCCCGACTCTTCTTCATTGAACTTCCAGGTCGATCAGAAAGAGTACAAAGGAAATAGAAAATGCCCTCTGGGAAATTTTGAAGGGGCCATGGGGGCTACTGCCGGAAGAAACAAGAAAAAGTCCATATTATAATAATAATGATTGTGGTGTTTCTACAGTAAACAGTTTGGACATACTTGCAGGAAAAAAACAGGAGTCCTTTATGCTTCTCTCAGGAAATCTTTGTATTAGCGTCACTGAGGAGCCACACTGTGACACTGCCACCCTGAGAGGCTCAGTGTTTAAATTCTGTAAATCTCTCTGCTTAGAGACGGAACAAGTGTGTCTACAACTGTTCTCTACAAACAACAAAGGTGGCTTGCTAGCATTTCCTGATTTTTACTCCACAGATTAAGCAGTTAACGATCATCTCGTCTGGTAGGTAACATGGTTATTCTGCAGATTTTCATAGCCTGCACCCTGCGATAGTCCAAGGAAATCAATAATGTTGGCTGGTTTGTGTCCATCCTGTGCGAGCACTCTTTGGCTTATTGCCAGATGTGTCTGATGAGGCATAGCCTTGGGAACTTAAAAGTTTGATTGTAAATCATAAAGCCTATTTTGAAAATATGGACTTACTGCATACAGACTTGAAGCAGGAAAAGGACAACACAGCAAATGTCTAGCTTTTTATAGCACCAAATAATTGTTAAGCATGAACCCTTTTTTTACCTGGGCAACTGCGACTCAGTAATTATTGTACCTTGTCAAAAGGTACATAAAAAAAGGGGTATGTCTGACAACAAAATTATTTCGACTTTATGGGTTCATATATATATAGATAAAAGTAGAAGGGTTATTGTAAGAGAAAAAACAGAGTTGGGAGTGGAGAGTATTTTGAGGGTGACAGCATGTATTGCAGCATATTCTGTAGCTGGACATAGTCAGGGTGCTGCAATGTGGTGCATGGCTGAGCGAGCAGTGGTGCTGTGTTGTAAATAATGCAGGGTGGAGGGATCCAGTGAGGTTTTCTGAGTTTGGTCTCCATGAACTAATTCACAGCTTACATGCTGGGCTGACACGACATCTGTTCTTGTGCAGGGTTAAGAGTGTCGATTCAGGAGAATTTTTTCATGGATGTCAATGTTGACTGTCTGGTTATTTAAGGCTCACTGGATCAATGTTAGAGCTCCAAAAATATGCTGTTATTTTGATACTTAAGTGTTTCTGTAAAGGTCATATTGTTGCCTTTTAAGATTTACTTCATTTCATTAACCTTTATTGGGCTCACAGTTAAATCTTTGGGCTGAAGACATTAGTTGATCCCTGAAGAGACTGAGTTGTGAGACACGTAGGGCTTGTTTACCTGCTTTGATCAGTGCTGCTGTCTGAATGTCAGTAACCTTGTATTAGAGAATCACAAATTAATAGTAGATCTACTGACACACAGAAGGCATTTGAAACAAAGACTATCTTGTCAAAATTGTGATTTTTTTCCTGGATTTATACATCAAACATGCAAACAAAAAATACAATATGTAGCCTATTGTGTGTTGGATATGTACGTTCTAAGTGAATTGATGTCAGGGGATTCAGTCAAGATAAAAAATGCTGTCCTCTCTGTGTAAATCACTGTGAGTCTGAACTTTGCTACCCCTGTTCTTTGAAATACTGCTGCTGCTGTTTCCTTCATGAAAGCAAAACAAAAATCTCTTTCTTTCTCTATGTCGTGCATAACCCAGTGATTTACAAAGCCTTTATTTGCAGTCACTTTTATATGATTTGGGAAAAACGGTCTTGACAAAGGTAGCTGATTTTATAGTAACATTAAGTTTAATGTTTCAGCAGGAAAAAGAGTAATGAGGACTATAAAATGACAATGATTGATGATGACAATGAGATGCTGAGACTCAGCAGGGTTTGCCGGTCCTCTGAGAGAGCCTCAAACAGTGTGTTAAATTTTTTATAGCTCACAGAAGTTCAATGGCAATCATTAAAGTGCGCAGTGTAAGTGAATTTGTGTCTATCAAGACTCTTCACATCCCATGTGAATTGTGTATTTAAGATATTTCAGACACCCCTACCAGAGTTAGAACCAACCACAACCATGTTTTTTCTTATCTTAAGGGTCTCCCATTAATAAAATGGATTGTTGTGAAATTTTATTTTGGGGCAAAATGTGTTGGGGTTTTTTTTGGCTATTCTTTACACCTAACCCAATCTCTGAAAAAAGAAAATCCGAATAGGGTAAATGTGTCAAAAAAAAGGCAATGCTCACTCTTTTCTTCATCAAATTTGCTGAGGTATGAACTAGCTGTCACATCACACCACACAACCAAAATTTCTGCCTAAACTAAAGGTATGTTGAAAGGACTATATTTCTGCATTTATTTAGGTAAATTACACTGTGACTTTTTTGTGATGTAGGATAGACACCTAGTTCATAACTTTGATGAAGAAAAGAGTGAGCATTGTCAAGTTAAAGGCTTTTTTTGACACATTTGCCAAACTCATAGCCAAAAAACACATTTTGTCCAAAATTAAATTTCACAAAAATCCATTTTATGAAAGAAAACACGTTAAAAAAACAATATTAGGAGCTAATCTCTCTAAATTCTGTCTGCTGATGTGCACACATCTGGTAATGTGTGTGAATGTCCTTTGTAAAGGATTATATTACAACTGTGACTGCCTTCAAGCTTTGTGTGTGTTTACCAATGTGTGTGTTTGTGCCCCTTTGTGCGGGTGTAGTCTTTGCTGTGAAGGAGAACGTAGGATCGTCCAAGAATCTCATTTGGCATTTGTTTTGTTTTGTTTTGCCTCAAGGTTCTGAATCATCTAGGTCCACAGTAGAGCTTTGGGGAAATTAAACCAAAGCTTGCAGTGTCTCACACACAATTGAGAATACACTGGTTTCCCTCCTTCTCTAAGAAACACCATTAAGGGCTGTGATGTTCTGAGATAGTGTTCTGTCTAGCAAATGTGCTTGTTTAGATTAATCCACCTTCTGTTAGAGTTTTACTAGACCAATAAGTTGAGAAGAAAACCATGCAGCTTGGCCTCCTTAGATTTGTGCTGTTGTCATTTTATCATCAAACCCATACTCCACATGTTTGTGATATAGTTCACAGACTTCTACTCAGTATCAAAATCACGTCTAGATGAATTGCTGACTTGGAGCTCGGAAATCCCGACTTCCTAATACAACCGGAACACATCAATAATGTTCTGTAGACTGCTTCATATTTACTTAGCTTATGATCTTTTTTGAAATGCATTGGATTCCCCTGAGCGGCTCTGAAAATCGAAAGGAAACTGATTATTGTACGTGCATGTAATGGATATGAGTCTGAGTCTGTCACAACCACAAAGATTACAATGAAAAACACCAAGACAAGAGACAGCAGAGGTACCTGACTGACTGCCAACAACAATTGTGTAATGTAATGGATCTTGGTCGGTGGAAATTGCTTGTTGTCTTTCTGATATACTTGCTTTGGAAAAGCAGCTGAACAGCGAGGCCACTTGACAGTAAATAGATCAGGTACTTTGGCAGAGTGATTCAGACCTGAAATGTGAGGATGTTTGCCTACACAGCCACTCTGAGTCACTGCAGGCACATATGGGATTGTGCTTACTCCTGCCCTTCTGTAAACACACATACATGACTGACCGTGAAAGTGCCAAGAACACTACACATGCAGAAATGCAAGGCAATTTGTCTCTGAGAGCATGAAGCAAAAAATTGCAGGTAATTTGCATTTTGAGTGCCAATGTTCATGTAAATGTGCCTCAGAGAAAAATCAAGAGGCTTGTTTATATTTTTCAAAACAGAGGGACCACCAAGACAGAAATCCTGTTCTGAGAGGGTTAAAAGAAAGGTAGATATTTGATGTTTTACAGTGCTATGTTGGACCTGCATTATTTTCCCATCTCAAGAGTGTATTTCCTCATGCGCTATCCTCAAAATCAACCTCTGTTGTGGACAATTTCACTCTTCTACTTCTCTCCCTGATGGATTTCTTTTGACTTTAACATGAGTCATGTCATTTTGCACAGGAAAGTAAAAGCAGTTTTTGGTTGAAAAGACGGTTTACTACACGGAAGCCACAAAAACCTTGACAAATCTATCTGATCTAACATAATTTGATTCATTTTAGATTGGATTACATTATTTGGTCATCAGATTTTATACCTGATGACTTGACTACTTTAGTGGTACATTGTTCATCTACTTCAGGATGGGAAACATAAAGCGCAGTGTTTAGGGTGTGGTATGGACACAGGGTGGTCTAAACATCATGAATGTCATCTTATTTCACTTGCTTTTTTTTAGTTCCAAGACCCTTTTAAAGAGCCTTGAAATTTTATCAGCAGATTTTAAGACAGAAGCAGATACACATGCTTCTTGTCTCTTCTTGTTACTTAAATCAGCTGTACAGTTTCAGAGAACTTTTTATTCAGTCTTAAATTGGGAAGTGTATAAGCCTATTTATCAGCTGCTGTTTACAGAAATCTCAGTCTTGTTTTCGCCACCATTATCCCCATACCATAAACACAGAAGCTGGTCTGCTCCAGTGACTCTCACCCTGATAGCCAGCAGGTGCTTTAAGAAGCTGCAAAGGGGTGTTGTTGTTTTTTTTAACTACAACTCAACATTCAGCACCGCATTGCTCTCTAGCCTTGACAACAAGCTTTGGAATTTGGGATTGAACCAACTGTGTGGATCAGTGGTAGAGTTGGTCGACTCCTAACCAGAGGGTCTGGGGTATCCAAATGGCTGTTGGGCAAGACACTAGACCCCATTCATCCTTGTTGGCTGCCTCCTGTGGGATTAGTCATAAAGTAATGGGCTCCTTACATTGCCACTTCTGCCATAAGTGTGTGAATATGACATATATGAAAAAGCACTTTGGGGGTCGGAAGACTAGAGAAAAGCACCATAAAAACATAGACCTTCTACCTTTAACACAGCGATGTGATTCAACACTTGACAAATGGCAAATTACCACCAAGTGGTGGAAAAGGACAGCTGCGCCTTCTCACAGCTGAACCTCACACAGGAACAACACATTTCCCTTGTGTATTCTCACTATAAACTTTGACTGCATGCTGGTACAAGCTTCTCACACCATTGAGTAGTTTGCAGATAATGCAACAGGTGGACATTGTGGACAGTTTTTGATTATCTGGAAGTAGACTTTAACAAGGATTAGACATAGATCAGCCAAACTGTGATCGTCGCAACGGAGACTTCATCAAAAACAGTGTAGCTACGGAGACCTCTGGGTGAGTCCATTGACGGCAGCGGGGGGACGCAGCTCAAGGAAGAACATTTATGATCATTACTTTATCATTTCCCTGAAGTAATAATCATCATAGTAATCATTTTGCACTGCAGACGCAGTAGTTCTTCTGCCTTAGCGTCTCGGTCTGATTACATTTCCATGAAGAAATGATCATAAATGTTCTTCCTTGAGCTGCATCACCCCCGCCTCAGTCGACGACGGTCTGGTCGAGGTCTCGCTACAAATAAGCAGCTGCTGGAAGAGAGTGGGTGAGTTGTGTTTAGTCTCTTTGCTAAAGAAATTTGGCAAAGCTAAAAAGATGTTTGGTGGCTGGGACCCTTTATGTACAGTTGATGAAGTTAGGTGCTGTTCTGAGCATAATTTGTGGCTATAGAGTGGCGTTTTGGTTGAGCACATGGCTCTCTGTATTGCTATCTTCGGTTGTTAATAAAGTTGGTATAACTAGAGGAACAAGCGGTCGGCAACATTCATCTCTCTACGGGGTGTCTAACTCGGTGTTGCAATGTGTTTGCCATCAACTTAATTTTACGCCGGAATATCCCTTTAAGAACTTTGACCTCAGGCCCCAAATTCTTGCAGCCTTTTTAACTGAAGTACCATGGAAAGTCTTCTGTTGGGCTGCTTCACCACCAGGTACTGCAGCTGCACCATTATGGACAAGGGGACACTGCAGAAGATGGTACACACAGCTCAGCATATCCCTGGGTGTGGGCTGCTTGCCTGCAGAAGCCATATGTCCAGTGGTGCCACAAAAAGTCCTATGAGGGCAATAAAGAGACCCAACCCATTCTCTCTCAGCTTCTTCTACCAGGCAACATGACTTAAATAAATAAATGAAGCTTCATCAACACACACAAGTGCAAATTAACACCAAATTTTTCACATGCTATATTCTGCCTTTCACTCAGTGCAAAAACTCAAGGGCACATGCACTGAACAACAATGCCAATTCTCCATATGGGTAACACCAGAAATCTCCATACTCACAACTACTGACCTCGACATAGTATGAACTGCACTTGCAACTGTGAAGGTGTCAGAAGACTGATTGGCTGAAAGTGTGCTTTCCAAAGGTCCCATTGGCGGTGTTATCACGCCTCGCTTGCAAGATGACAGCTTTTATATTACTAACATCCACAGGCTCTGGGCTTTAAGAGCCTCCCCCCTCACTTCATCACACCCCTCACCAACTCAGCGCCGAGGCTTTTATAAGCATGAAATAGCCCCACTGCTGAGATATACTCCTTAGTTCATAGGGAACAGTTTCTGTCACACAGACGGTAACACACACACACATAGACACACAGCATGCTAGCAGGTGGATGTATCACTGAGTTTGTGCACAAATCTATTCATGCGTTTATGTATGCATGCTTGCTTGACTGAAGGCACATCCGCAAAACTAGACTGCTTACCTTTTCAGACGAGACTTTTTCAGAGTGGTAGTTCCGATTTACTCAGCTCCATTATCTTTTAAGCAGTCGGCCCATCTTTGAAGCATGACAAAGCTGAATGCTCTGAGGTTGCAGCCTGCAGGATAGTCCTGCACTTAGCTAACATGGCAAGTCAGAGGGCAATTTCTTTGTTGTGTTATTTTGTTGTAGCAGAATTGCATGAAAAACTGAAGATCCAAGTGGACTAGATATTCAGTAAATCCTCATTTTAATCTGCAGTCAGGATCCTATTCATTATCATGAGCTTAATAGGTGTTTAAAGGCTGGAATTTAATTAATAAGATCCGTATTTCTGATATTGAAATATGGAAAACAACTAAACAGTAACTTCAGAATGATCTATGCACTGTTCATGTTTCCTGTAAAATTATGCCAAAATCACATCAGATTAATAGTGAATCACACCACAGGTCATCTTTGTGCAGTTTTTTTTTTTTTCTTTTTGACTACGTTTACCACTTTCAGCATCTCCACCTTCACAGTCTAGTGCACATCTAGTTTTCTTATCCATGTTGTAGATGGATATTTAATAACATCGCAGAAAAGAAATCCACATGATCAAATGATAAATCGATAGATGCACAGTCTGACTGAAATTCAGGTCAGAAGCAACGCTAAACTCTGTTTTTTTAATATATTGTAACAGGATTTGTATGTGAAACACTGGCAAGTAACCATGTAAGAGCTGAAATGCTGTTATTTAGGATGGAAAAACTACCATTAATGGGGTATGTTGACATTACTGAACAGCAGCCCCACCGATAAGGCTGCCTACATGTCTGCAGGCATTATCTGGGTTATAATCGGCCTCATGAACCAAGGCTTTAGTGAATGCTTATTATTTCGAAATAACACATAGCATCTTGATTTACTCCAGCTAGAGTACCTTAAAAAGCTTGGATCACTTTCTGTCTATGTGCTTATGACACTGATTTTGACTCTTTATGAACTTGGTTAATCTATAAACACTGTATGTAAGCTCTCTAATTTCCCTCTTTAAAAGCGTTTTTTTGTGATATTTGGCTCTGTGATGCGGTTTCTCAGTGTCAGGCTTTCTTTTTCTTTTTCTTTCTGCTTGCTTGTTTTATTTTTATTTTTAGAATTTGCCTTTTTTTTCACAGATTGTCATGTGGTCCCCATATTAAAGCATACATTGCAAGTATTACTTGTCAGCAGCAGCATTTAATTGCAGAGATTTCAGTGTTTTCCTCTGAATTTCACTGTTATGGATGAATATCCCAGCAGATCTTTTTTTTTTTTCTTTTAATCATCATTGCCTCAATCTTCCTCCCTTAATTATTCACTCAATTAAATATGGAGAGATAATTAGTCAGCACAACATGATAATTATCTGCAGATGGCTCTCTTCTCCTCTGAAATGAAGTCATTAACATAGCAGCGGTTTTTTCGAGTAGATTTTATGTAAGTACGTTCTTGCAACTCCCTTTTACTAATATTTTCTTTTTATCAGATTCTCGCTCCTTAAATTCTTGTCATAAAATCTGAAGACAGAAGAAAATGTCAATCTGCTGTAACGTCAGGAAAGATGAAATAATGAGTTTGAGAATTTGGGCTTCAACGTGTTTTGTGAAGAACAATGGGCTCTGCAGCCAAACTCAGCAGCACTGATAAGACCCCAAAATAGAAAATCTTTGATTTGTACTTCAGTTTTCCTGCTTCGGCACTTTGACTGATGTTGACATTGAAAGTGAGTGATTGTATCTTATTTGCACAATGTAGCAGTGACAGAGAGCAAAAGAGGGGGATAATTGATTATACCCTCAATATTTGTACATGCTTTAGATAGTTAAGGCACAATTAACCTGGACCTGCACTGTTCCCTTTACTTTAATGAATATTGAGTCAACCTGCAATGAAATGTACTAGAAAATTAGAATATACAATAACATTAACTGTTGAAGCCCGAAGGCAAAAGAGAGATTATGGCTGCTCCAGCATGTGTGAGTTGTTGGTGTTGCCAGCCTTATCCCTCCCTGAGTTTGACTAAAATAAGACCATGAAGACTATTAATGAATTGCCTCTATAAATGTTATCAGGATTAATTCTTAACAGGCAAGGAAGCATGTGATCCCTTGTAAATTAATATTAATCAGTAGCGTTCGTGTTAAGCTGCTTTAAGCCGCCGTCGTGTCCTTTTAAGTTACCCCTGGGGGACGAATCAAGTGCTTTGAATTTTAATTCGGATTGCAAAATCGCATAATCTTAACAGGCTGTACCTCCAGGAAAACAACTTCAACAGGTCCCTACTTTACATTCAAGTGTTTAAACTGCCGTGTGCAAGAAGAAATCTAAGACAAGAAGAGATATGAGGCAAGAGACACAGATCATTATAAGAAGGTACTTAAGCCTACATGAATCATATCTGTATCAGGCTTTGACATTTTGAAGAGCATACCAGAAGTGTAGTTCAATACAGCCTTGAACTTGTTGTTTTTTCATCTATTTTGGACTTGATCTATGAGAAACTGTTTTAGAAGACATATATTCTCAAAGTTTTTAGCTTGTCTGATACACTGCCGAATGCTCTACACTATTAGAATTAGGGCCCAACCATTATGGATTTTTTGGGGGCCAATGAGGTAGTTAGTGGATGAAGCTTGTCATGAGGTCGCTGCTCCATCTACAGGATAAGTCGGGGAACTTTTTAAATGGCAGAACATTCTCATCCCCATTTAGAATGCATGAGAAAATGAAAATCATGCTACTCCACCTTGTTAAATGAGGAGTCAATGAGGAGAGAATTTCAAATCTGAGAACAAAAAGTTTCAAAAATAAAAAGAGGAAAAGGATGAGAGCCAAAAACAAGAGGGCATATGGTGGGAACCTCTTGGGAATGCTTGCAAAATTGTGAATATGTAAGTGGTGGAAACATGAGGAACAATGAGAAAACCACAGATGTGAAGAGGTGAAAAAAATTAGGATACACAGACAATTTGTGCTACCAGAATTCAAATGTATCTTTGCAGTCCTCATTGTGCTCTTCTTTGCACTTCTGGTTCCATTCAGTCTCTCTAACACACACAAACATAAACATGCACACGCTCACAGTTTTACACTTGACGGGGAAGTGTGTCAGATGGTCTGTTGTGTTTCATAACAGTTTTTCAGAGGTGTAAACAGCAGTTCAATATTCATTATGAAAATTGGTCACAAACGTGTAAGCGGTCCCCCTCTGCATGTCATCAATGCAATCGTTCAAGGAAGCGTACTCCCAGAAATAAAACAGTCATTAGCAATTATAATAGGGAAGACAAATAATGCAGTTTCTGTAAAGAGTCATTTATCTCACAACCATTAGCATAAACAGAGACACACTCAATGGTTTTCCACATCTTGAATGAATTTTCCTTGCTAGCATCCAACCATAAACCATAACATCCAACCCTATTCTAGTCCTGGAGTAACTATTTTGTGTTTTATTGTTTGATTTTAAGACGCTTTATCACCTTTATTATATTTTATCATGGTTTAATCGTTTTAGTCCCAGATCCAGTGTTTCCTCAGTCATCTGTGGCAAATCGAAGAGTCCTCACCTGGTTGTCTGTGTATGCATCTGTGTGTGTGTGAGCGTGTGATTGCCATATGTGATGAATGGGGTTTGGGAGGGTAGGTGGGATTTGGTGTTTTTATTTTAATTCATTTTATTGCATTGTTTTTTAATATCCTGCGCAAATGGACAACACTTTGTGCTACATTCGATGTATGAAATGTGCTTTAAAAATAAAGTTTGATTGATAAAAGTAAAACCTAATCTGGTTTAAAATATTGACTATAAACACAACTTATACCCTTCTTTTTGAATACTGAGCATCTCCTTTTTATTACAGTGAAGGAGTACTGGTCAAATCAGTTCCAGATCTGTTGTGAGGACTGCAGGATAGAGAGAGAGTGTGTGTGTGTGTGTGTGTGTTTTGGCAGATGAGATGGTATTACCATAGTACCTGGGGTATTAGAGAAAGTCATTACTGTCTATCAGCGGGCAAATGAGGACTTGTTTAAGAGGGGATGAAAAGCCTTATTGAAGATGAAGGCTTGTTATGGTATCTGCTTAGAAAGGCAGCAATGGGGGACCACATTTCAATAGATATTTGATGGGTAAAGACAGCTGTATTAACACGAGTGTAGCAGTAAGGGGGTTTCTATTTATATACGTGTGGCTTTAAATGAGTGCATATCTATGAAAAGCCATTTGAAAGAGGTTTTAAAAGAGGGAAAATATCACGTTCTCATTCCATTTCCCAAGAGGGTGAATCTTATTTCATTTATCTCTGCATCATTCCCTCCATCTCATCTGTTTTCCTCCTGTCAGCGCCCCTCTTTCCTGGATCTTGCTTTCCATCCCTGTGAAAGCTGAACAGGAGGATGTGTCGTATAGGCTGAGCAACACACAAGCCTACAGAGCTGATCGGAGAAAAGCAGTTTTTTTCTTTATCACTTTAGCTAATACAGGAGAAAGGGGTCAAACAGTGAGTAAAAGAGAGAATACCCCATTATGTAAGTGTCTTTCCACCTCACCAGCTCATGCTGCAGCACGATGAGTATCACAAAAGTTAGCAGCTGAACATGTAAACGCACTGGGTGAACGCTTAAGTTAGAGGCAAATGACCTGAAGCTTCACCCACCAGACCTCAGCATAATCCCACACCAGGAGACACTCAGTGCGTTTACATGTTCAGCTTAATCGGACTAAGCTCATAATACATTCTTTTCATCGAATTGGACTTCTCTCCTTGTCCGCGTATAAATGTACCTGAGAAAATCAAACTGTTGACATGAACGTGTCTTCCTACCCAAAACTTGGGGGCGATATGGGTCTTTTCAGCTGTTTCCAATTGACCCCAAACAACCGTCAACAACAACAGCAGCTCCGTGCCAGATGTCAGAAGTGGCTACAACTGCTGCTGGGCATTTTCGACCAATAAGATGGAGTATTGTACAGAGTTGTTTTTGTCGTACATGGTGTACGCGCAACTTCTTCTTTGGTGTTTTTGTTCCAGGGTTATGGGGGCTTGGTGAATGCGCACATGCATTGTCCTATCATACTCCGACTACGCTGGTTACATGGTAGAGAAAATCGAATTCCAATCGCATTATCTGGGTGTCGTAATCAGAGTTCTCAAACTCAGATTATGGTCGGACTTGGGTGTTTACATGCACTTCAGTTGTCCGGTCTTAATCGGAGTAAGGATATAATTTGGTCTTCTCGAGTGTCATGTAAACGAACTAAGATTTCACAGATAGAAAGGTTTTAAAGACCCATGCATTTATGAAAATTGTACATTTCCATCACAGTCAGGTCTGACAGGAAAGAGTTAAATGTTAGCCATGAAACTCGCTGAAACACAACGATAACCCATCATCACTCCTTACAACTCAAGCACTTTGTCTTAACGGACTGACTGCCTGTTGTCTTTCTTCCTGCTCATCACAGCGGGAAGATTTTTTATTTTTTTTTGCTTTGTAAGAGATCTGCCTCCATCTGCTCCTGCACCAGCCAAGCTTTTCTCTTCTACCCTGAAATAGAGTTCACCTGGACTGTCATCATTCAAGGCCTGGCTAGGAACAGGGACATCATCATTAATCGCTGGCAGGGCATCTCAGTTCCTGACTCAGCAGCTTCAGTCTACATGATCTAAATTTAAAAGCTTGCCCTGAGTAGACAGTAAGGCCTTTGCAAACAACTTTTTAAAGAATCATCTATTCATAAGTGAAAAAAAACAGCTTGACATTTTAATTTTTATCTATTCTTTTTCCAACCATCTCACTAGTATTCATGGTCATCCTTGGAGCTAAGGTTTGGCATGTTTGTTGAAATAAAGAAGAATGTATTAACCACCGGCAGTCACATAAACAGCAGAAGTAGCAGTGTTAACATTAGTCTACTATGCATTTAGGTAATTAATTATGAGGTATTTTAGGGGCTATAAAGTAACAAAGATTAATATAAAAGAGTTACACTGAGACACTGTGAGATAAGCTGTCACTTCCAGGGGGCTTAAAATGGCTGAAGTTGGCTTCATTTTCCCCTTAATTAACTATTGTGTTATCCAAGGGTACAGAGTTGATGTGTCAGCAGTGAATAATCTCAGCGGTTTTGACAGGCGAGTAAAAATGAAAGATTGCCAAAAACAGAGAGCAATGTACTCTTCAGTAAATACACCAGGCTCAGCTTGAAAAATAAGATGCTCTAAATGAGGCCATTTTCATGTCTCAAATCCAAATTAGAGGGACTTAATGTCTCATGTAGGACACAGTGTATAGGGACTTATGATGACTTACTAAAAGGTAAGGGCAAACAAACAGTTCATGTTGCTTAAAACATTTTTCAGACTTTCTAGAGCTTTTTAAACCAGATCTTTACTTTTCTGCATTGAAAATATCTACATTAAAATTGGATGTCTGACATTGCCCATCTCCTACTTATAATTGAAGAGTTGCATGGACCTTAATTGTGACATTATGAATTTATCAGTAAGTACAACTTGCATTGAAAGAATACACAGTGTGAAGCCCCAAAGTTTTTCTTTGCTCATTAACATGAGAGAAGAAAAAAAGGGGTACTTGGGGAAAAAAGTGACACAGATTTTATTTTGAGACCAATTCTAAGCTCTTTCTCTCTAAATAAGGTTCCTGAGCAAGCAAAAGCCCCCAACAAAACAAAGCAAAGACTGGTCTCCCAGGAAAAGTGCACCACCTGTACTACTGCTTACAGGCTGATGAATTGGAGCAGTGGTTATGGCTTTGCACCTGCCCAAAAACTAGAAGGAAAAAACAAAGAAAGTTTGCATACAGTGTGTGTGTGTGTGTGTGTGTGTGTGTGTGCGTCTGTCCGTGTCTTGTGTAGCTTTGGTTTAGTCATCAGTCCATGTACCCTTTCCATGTACATGACAGTACAATAACTGTCTGTCAGGCTTGATTGGACATGGACTGACAGGCAGTTCAACTTATATAATCTGACAGTGAAGCAGTCAAGCACCTTCTACACTCTAAAAGTTCGACTGGGCTAAATTAATACTTACAAAGTAAATACTAACCTATACATGAAAAAGTTTGGTGTATTATTATGTTGATCTAGTTAAATTTGAATCATTTATTAATTGCATATTACTCATTTTTGTTTGAACAATATCAGCTGAAAATCACTGTGTAGAATTTTAATTTTATGAAATTTTATAATAAATGCCACACAATGGGAACTTTTTTGTTTTAATCGCCATATACTTTCACTCAAAACACATTATTTATATTTACTCAGTTCAATCAATAGTTTTTAATCAAAGTTGAAGTAATTCAAATCTGTTCAAGTATGTTAAGAGTCACTTGTTGCCTTGATTTTTTGAAGTAGACAATGGTCAGACTTTTCTGAGTGTAGCTAGCTTCTTTTGGTCTCAGTGAAACTTTTCTGTTTATGGTCACGATATGAATAATTTCTAGTTTTGTGAATTATTAGGCCCACAGGGCAAACGCTCAAAGTCATTATTGTAATGCTGTGGATTTTTTCTTATTTCTCTTCTGGACAAATTTTAATTCGCTATAGTCCAACAGCTTGAAGAGTTGTAGGACAAATTATATATCGAAACGTGCGGTTTGATCAGGATCAGTGTGCTATTACTTTTCACTGTTTACATAAGTTGTTTTAACTTTGCATTTCTTATTGTTAATGTGGAAAAGCATGATACCACCCCTTTAAAGGTGTCAGATCTCCAACCTGGAGGTCCAGGAGAATTAAATTCAATTCTGTTAAGCTGCCATATGATGATCTGAAGAAAAGCTTCATCAAGCCTCTTTAAAACTAAAACAATATTATTCTTCCCTACATGATAAAAATCGCAAAATTAAAACCATCACAGGTAAAAATGTCTAATATCAACAACTGACTGTGTGATAAAGTAAACTTATTCATCCATTTCCTTTTTGTGCTTGCAGGAACCTTGGAAAGTCGGGATTAAGAGTATCCTGTTTAGGACTTGGTGAGTAGACTTTATGATTCGCTTTATCATTCATATTGCAAATCTCTATCAGACCTCAAAAAACAACCACATAGGGCGACATTGAATAAATATGTTTCTGCAGTCCACAAGTTTGTTTCTTTTTTCTTCACACAAACCAGCTTCACATGAGTCACTTACTGTCTTAATGAACTCCTTTGAGCAAATGTGTGAAACAAACAACACTAAATTCAGAACTGGTCTGGCAGTAAAACTATCAGGTTTGGAACAAATCCAACTTCACAAATAATATTCAACCTGAGATGTTGATTATGATCAGACAACAGAAAAACTTTGTGAAATTATAGTAAATGAATAAAGCAAACAGAATGTAATATAAAATGATGAGAAGAATCACTGACAGAACTTTGCAGAAGAACAATAATTCACTGAAACTTTTAGTTTTATAATAATGTAGAAACTCAGATTGAAGTTAAAGGCTTTGAATAGTTAAATGATTTATTACTAACAAAATTACCATTTACCATATATGAACTCCAAAAATTTATTATTCCGTCTGTTTATTGTGTGATGGATCGAAGAGGAAGGATTAAAAGTTTCCTGTTTGACAGATCACTACAGTATTTGGATGAATGAGACATGTGGTTATTTTATTCATAAAGCCAAAGCCTGGTTTTGGAAGTTTAAAAGAAAAACTAATTTACTGTCCAGTCAGTTTCTCAGAAACTGAAATATTTATAAATCAATTTATTTTTTTCTCAGATTTCACATAAAATACCAACTGAAACTAATATATCTCTTTGAGAGTCAACTCCACAAATCTAAAATGAGCCTTTAGAAGAGAGGATCTTTTTTTTTCACAATCAATTATTGCTTAACATCAGTAATTCAAAGGGTTTGGACTAGTAACGTTACTTTAGTTTTATAGCTTAAACTAAGCCAGACAACAGCCAGGAAACAATGCAAGCGGTATAATCAGATCTGCCGGGCAAACAGAGGATTCTTCAGTCACTGTTTTCAGCCAAATCATATACTTCCAAAGTAAATACTTAGATTTTTCAAATTGAGTATACTAAGCATACTATGTACTCAATTGCTCAGTACGCGAGTTTCGAGGGTGCAGTGCTGTCCCAAAATCACATACTGCCGCACGGCGCACTCACCGGAAAGGACAACGCGATTTGCCTCATGTCTGAACATTTATTGTGCATAACAGAAAAATCACAAACTATTTACATATTAAAAAATTTAGAACAAGAAAACTAAAGATACCCTATTTACATATTAAACATTTGGAACTTGGTAACTAAAGATAAACTGTTTACAAATTGAGCATTAAAAACGAGAAAGGAAACTATTTACAAAAAACTACTCAATATATTTCATATTATTTATAAAATATAAAATATTGATGTAAAATATAATATAATATAAAATATAAAGGCAACTTATTACTTACATCTAAACAAAGCTCCCAGGTCAACTGTCGCCGACCCACTGGCGCCACAGCCGTCCGCAGCCATTCTTACTGATGAAATGAGTGTGGGCGAGTGTCCACAGTCACATACTCAAAATCTTGACCAATTTGAGTATGTTATCCGGGTACTTTTGCATTCTCAATTTTCGCACACTATCCATACTTTTTTTATTTTTAGTAGAGTATACTCAAAATTTTAAGTATTTAGCATGGAAGTATGCGATTTGGGACACAGTCAAGGAGACATTATGTGCTGGACAAGAACAACAAGACTGAGATGGAGACAGCTTTGGCCTAAAGGTAGAGCAGGTCATATTCTAATCAGTAAATAAGCTACCAAGTTTACCAAAGTGTTCCCTGGTTCCCTAGGCTGGCCTTGCAGCCTCTGCCATGCATGAAAGATTGTGTATTAATTTAAGACTGTTATACCCGTGCAGAGGAAACTGTCAGACTGTTGCTCCATGTAAGTGCAGTCCAGTTTAAGTGCAGTTTATCAAGCTTTTTGTGTATGCCTTATAGTTCTAGTTTGAACACACTCTGGTCTTACTGTATCTTGTATCTGAGAATTCATCAACCTACTTTTTGGCCTCTTGAGTAGAACACCTGCTTCCTCTTATTTACTGAGGAGCCCTTGCAGATTGCTTTTAAACATGCCGACCTGTACAGCAAAGTAGGTGGTAGATATGTACTGTTTTAGGGTTGCACATGTACCTCATAATTTTACAGGCACATTATGTTAAAATGCATTTGTCACTGGTGTTACTTCACTTGGATGTTTGAGCTTTAAGGTGCAGACTAACATACCGGTATGTGCAGTGAAAAAGTTAGGTGTGTTTGATTTTTGAGGTGTTTTGCTTTGTTACAAAACTTTCTTTTATTGTATCATGTCGTGTAGTGTCTAGCTTTTGAGGCTGGCTGTGAGCTCTGCTGCCCCGGGTGGTTCATTGTAGACAGAGGGGTTTCACTCAAACTGGCCGAGCACAGTGGACTAGAAAAGGTCAGTTTAATGTCAGCTGCCTGCCACATGCTGCGCTTGAGGCAGACACGATGCTGGCAGGGGAGAGGAGAAAGGCAAAGAGCAAAGAGCAGGATGCTAAATGGTGTTTCACTGTTGTCCACAAAGGAGTCGGATAATGATGCATATGACAAGTATTGACACAAACTTATCCTAATGTCACAGCATAATTAAGAATAGTCCAACACACACAAAAAAGCTCAGTGTCACAGTACTGGCTGGATTTTTTAATAGTAAAATGTTTGAATGTTTGGGTTATAAGATAAGAAGAACTGTATTTATCCCCGGTGGGAAATTCAATAATATACTGTATATTATAATGATACAATAGTTTTTTAAACCTTCCCATGTGGTCCTGTGGTTTTCCTCTTAGCTCTACTATGTTTTCTCCTCTTGTTTTTTTATTTGGATTTTTACCCTAGACTCTGTAGCAGTAAGCCTTTGTATTTCCCTGTTTTTGTTAATATAGCATATTGTCTACCTGGGTCCCCCTATTTGTTTAATAGTGACACTTAACTTTCACAATTTGTTAACTGACAGTGTTGAACTATGCCAAGGAAAGCTTATACCTCTATCCATAATTTCATTTTCTCTTAATTTGTTTGTGGTACAAAGACCAGTAGTTTTTTTTTTTTTACCTCTGTTCCAACATCTGTTGCTCATTTCACTTACATATCCTAAAATCTGACAACTTTTGATGACTCTTCTGCTCATTTCCTTCGTAGCAGGATTACAGATGTAAAAATCCATCTGTCTAATCATTTAAAGGACATGTTATTTTCTGTCATGGCCAAATATTTCTCCTTCTAACCCAGTGTTGTTCTCGTTGACGTTGACAAAATCATCGTCAATGAAAACAACACTGCAACACTGTTTAGCGTTTGACTGACGAAATGCTCATGAATTTTGCAACTCTGTTCGTCGTCCACCACTAACGTTTTCATCCCGTCTCGTCAACGTAAATGCACATTCGTCTCATCAAATTTTAGTCATCTAAGACTCATGTTTAGCTCGTCAACGCCACGTCTTCGTCATGGAAAAAAAGGGGCGTCAACGAAAACAACACTGTTCTAACCTCTTGCTGTTGATATGAATTGAAATTGAGCAAAAATCACTGTATCTTTTGAGTCTATAATACTCTCTGCACACCCCATAATTATTAATGTTGTTGCATTAATTCATCTTACGAACAGAATCCCCCCTTCCAACAAACACATAATCTATGTATAAGTGAGATTCTGGATAAGCAGTATTGTCTTTCATGAACTCTGTAAACTGGATCGTTTCATTGAATGTTGATAAAGGAGAAAAGTTGAGCAGGCAGTGACATTAGTATTCTACTCCCTTTGCCATTATGCAAGGGACAGACTGCAGGGCAGAGGGAGTGGTGATGTGGAGAGATGAAGTAAGATGTGAAGAGAAAACTGAAAAGGAAATAAATATCCAAACTCTTGGCTTGTATAGCTTTTGTCCTGCCAGTATCTAGCTTTTTCACCCTCTCTTTACTTCTGTGATCGGACCCTCTGCTCTACCTCTGCCTTCCTCAACTTTTATGTAAAGAGATGAAGAGGAATTCTGTTAAACTGCAACAACATGAAGGTTTTCTGGACCAATTTAAAATCAGCATTTTTGATTCCCCCATACAACCCCAGTTCCCCTAAAATGAGATGCGTGAAGTTTGAGATGAGTGTTAACTGAACTATCAGCACTTCTTTACAGACCAATAACTTCTTCTATATGCAGCACAAACATGCCACGCTCTGACCAGGTCCAGTTTTTCTCCTTGGCGCCTGCTGCAGTGATGCAGAGTAACTGAGAGATGAATTCTTAAAATGTTTCTCCTAGAAAATCCTTCAGAGTCCTGCAGTGCAGAAAAGAGTGCATTGCCACTGTAGACCAAAACTTTTCAGTCCACTACCCTCTTTTTCTTCAACTCTTCAACATCATCTGAAGCGTCTGTGTGTATGCTAATGCCATTTCTTTTGTGTCCTTTCACTGTTTTGGTTTTCCACCTACTTTATGAGGAATGAGTCTGAGTCATTATCAATCTAACCTCAGTAAAGCTTCTATTGTTTCTATAGCTGGTGGGAAATTTGTTATATTTTAAGTACATTTAACTATGACTTCCTTTTGCTGACAGAGATTCCTCACAGTGTAAACCATACTGACATGAGGGATCTACAACTTTTTATTGAAAAGTTAAACATGTATTTTGGTCAGGATAAAGAGTGTGAAGTCAGTCTGCTAGCCAGGCTGCTTCTGTGCACGCCAAAGTCTATCAAGGCAGTTTTTTGGTTTGACTTTTCACTGTGAGTGGAAATGAAGGCACACAACCCTCATTTTAGACACAGTTGTGACTCATGCTTGATAAAATGTTTTTTCTCCGTACACTGCGTAAGAAGGGGTTTAATTGTATCTACATTTAGAGATGATTAATCAGACTGATTAACTGTATTTGGATGTAATCTGTATCTTATTGGCATTGGCCCCCACAAGACTGATATCACCATTGTCTTTACAAATGGAAAAACACATTTGACAACATATCAGATCTAATACTGACTAGTGTTTAACATAAATGCTGATAATCCTGATGTAAAGAATAATGCAGTTTAACAAAAACGATATTTAACTTGTGTATTTTTCCCATCTTACTAATTTCAGGCAACTAGGCAGAAATCCCAAAAGTCCCTTGGGGCTATATTTGTCCAAGCCCAATATTTCTCTGTCTATATTTATTTAATAAAACAGTCACTCAAGATCAGCAATATTCTTCTCATTTGTTAGGATTAGTATAATAAAAACAACGATGTGATATCGGCCATCACCTTGCCTGTTCTCTCATTATTAATATTGGCGTCTGCCTTCGAAAAATTGTAATTAGTCAAACACTTTTGTCAATAAACTGTACAGTAGTATAGAGCCTTTTGAAAATGCAGCGAGTTTTGCTACATAACTCAAATCAAACTATGAATTACTGTTTTTTTTTTTTTTGTCTTATCTGAATAAAAATATGTATGTCTGACCAGCTCAGTACTGTTCCCAAAAAAAAGACTCAACTTTGATATGTAGGCAGAGGCCAAAATTTTCATACAGTTAGGAGTTCAGTCAAACAGATACTAGAGATAAGTTTCGTCTAAATGTGTGAGAAAATGTGTGAGAAATCGAGACTGAGGGGTTGAGCACAAAACATATATGACACATTTGTTTCTGTCACTTTTTCTTCCCTGGTTTTCTGACTCATATTCACAAAATTGCACGCCAAAATGTAACAGTGATGCTGTGTGGAAGAAAACCCCCTCTGTTAATAATCCAAGACTAATTCTCTCTATATTTTCTATTTTATTGTATATTCTAGGTGTTTATGATGACTGTGTTTATGTATCAACAAGTATCATGTTACCTAATGCTATGTTTGATTTGACATGGTTCAGCTCAGATATTTTGTGAGCAAGTTATGCAGTTAATCTCATGAACTAATCATGGGATTACACACCAGGACTGTCATCCATAGGCCAATCATCAATGATAGTTATTGGCTATTACTTCTCAGCTGTTAGAGTTAAAAGCTGGCTGTTGATAGGTTGTTTTTTAGAGGCAGTTGAAACACTAAAACAGCTGTGGTTGCAGTTAAATTGGTTATTAAAATAAAAATAGAAATTCAAGTTCAAGTAGCACTGAGTGAAAATGATACACAAGTTTTCCTGTTTATTGGGTGATAAAGGGGGATTTTAATTTTTAAACACTAAGCATCATGAACTACCTCATATTGTTTTAGGCAGTCCAGATTTTTCTGGAACTCCCAGAAGACACATAAACCACTCAGCTTTAAAAGGTTTTCACCAGACATTTTTATGATATAAAAAGAAATTCCTCCCTTTCTGTCTGTCTGACCGAACTAGACGGCTTTAGATCGCTACATTTGGATTGACATTAACTGAATGGGGAACCAGTTTCTGCTCCAACAAAGCAACATGCATAATTTAATGAGGGGTGTGTGTTAAAGTAATAGTGTCTGCTCTCTTCATGTTTTTTCATCTGTTTTATTTGTTATGTTTAAAGGCCGATCAGACACATGTCGGCAGACACAAAAGTAGGCACACATGCACAGAGACATACTGTAAGCACTTAAAGGCATGGTTGATGATCTGAGAAGCAGCTGAAAAAAACTGAGCTGTTGAGGCAGACTTGAAAAAAGCGTCCCAACCCCCACACACAAACCCCTCCCCTCTATGTTCCACGATAACCCCCCCCCCGCCAACCTGTATCGCCCTCACCTACGACACACCCCCTCTGGCAGAGCAAGAAGCCGGTCGGCAGAAGATCATACGCTAGCTTCAAATAGGATTCATCATGTTGGATTGCTAGTGACTAGCAGCAGTAAACACCAGCTCTGCTAGCGCGCACTGTCTGCAGCTGCCTTGACAGCTACTGTGTTGACATTCCAGCGACTAACAAGAGTTATTTATGTAACATGTGCCACAATAAAAGGCAAAAATGACCTGTTCAACAAAAACTCTGCTGTCTCGGCATCTGCTTTCAGGCCCAAATCACGGCAGAACTTTCTCCACCGCTCAAAGGATGACCCGATGTTTATTCGAGTTAGATTCCTCACTTGGTCACATTTCCTCTTCGACTCTGCCCTTTCCTCTGTCGGCTTGTGTTTTCTTAGCACTTTTGACGGTGGGGCAAGCAGAAGTGTTTTTTTTTTTTTTTTTTTGCGTCCTTCTCCATCACAGCTCCTGTAGCTAAGCTGCTACGCTACTTTTAGCCACTCAGAGCTCCGAGGAGGGTCGAGAGAGTGCAAGGGGACGAGTTGGAACTACGGGAGAGGGGTGTGTCAAATACAGCGAGATGATTGGATGGAGAGGCAGAGCAGGAGATTTACCAATAGGAGCTGTCCGGGACGGATGGCTCCCATTGGTCAATGTTTTTGCAGCCCTGCACCTGCTAGGGTGAACAGATTTTTTCTGTTCTTTCTTCTCTTCACTTTGTGGAGATCACACTATAGGACCATGATCGCCATATAAACGAGGTTCACAATGATTACCAATCTCTCAAATCCAGTGATGTTTTCGTTGACGAGTCATTGTCAACGAAAAAACAACATTGGTTGTTTTCGTTGATCGATTTTTCACGACAGAGATGTAGAATTGACGAGCTAAACATGAGTCTTAGATGACTAAAATGTGACGAGACGAATGTGCGATTATGTTGACGAGACGAGATGAAAAAGTTAGTGGTGGACGACGAACAGAGTTGCAAAATTCATGAGCATTTCGTCAGTGAAACGCTAAACATATATTCTGCAGTGTTGTTTTCGTTGACAATGATGTTGTTGAAATATTTTCGTCGTCATCATCAACAAAAACAAGACTGCTCCAATCGTCAACCATACCTTGAAGTAGAGAACATATTAACTCTTCTAAAACAATACGAGCAAGAGACAAAAAAGCCAACTGGAGTTGAGCTGGAGCTGAAACAGATTTTTCATCAGGGTATTGGTAGTGTTTACTCCCGTAGGTCAATCATAAATACAAACACACACTGGCAGGACTGAAATGTGTTCTAATGGTAACATGTTTCCATCTCCCCTCAGGTACATGGGTGACATTTGGAGGACAGATTACAGATGAGGTATGAAACCTTTTCTTTTTCTTTGTGAATTTATTTTATCCCTGTCATCTAAGATGAAATATAAATGGATTTCACACCAACAGTCATTCACACCGGGAGAGCAGAACTGAGAGAAGATAACAAGAATCTTTGAGAAGTACAGGTTAAGCTATTGAGACAAAGAGATCACCATATGCCTTGTAATTTGTAAGAAAGTTGTATTTTCTCACATGCCTTAAATACCTCCAAACATTTTCTCCATTTCAAAAGAATAGAAATGTTATTTAAAGTAGTTAGAATAGTCAACCACATGACCTTTAACCTTCAGAGGACTGTTAGAGGGACATACAAACCCCAGTGCTCTTGGTCAGACCATGGGACATTTTATCTAACAGAGTGGTGTCACAGTTAACCTTGATCAGACAGTTTGCTGGATGACATTGCTGTGATACCTACAGGCTCAATCAGCCTACAGCCAACTTCTGTGTTTTATTCATCCATCACATGTCATCATGACGTGGCTGATGTTTTTTTTTTTTACTTATATAAAAAGGCCACAACCTTTTCATTTACTTAGGTAATTTAAGTTATTCAGACTGACTCATAGATCATGATGTATGAACAAAAACAAGGCGTGCTAAGGGTCAACACTCATGTGCTTAAATCCCCATTCACACTGATGTACCCTGTGTTCTCATGTTGCTGCTGGGGCCGTGGTGTTGGTTATTAAATATATATTGGCTCTCACAGTGACACTAAAGGATAAGAGAACAGAGACCACCCAAGGGGACACAGAACCCAAGAGATTATGTAACAGTATTATTTCTCGTACGATGAGGGTCATTGGAAAAACTCAGTAAGTACTTCGCACTAGTTTAAAGTCAGATCTACTAAAGGTTTGCATGTGCAAAAACACGTGCAAACTTGATAGCGCGCATAAAGCTGATCAACAAACTGGGTGCACCGAGGATTGCGTCTGTCAAATGAGGAAAACAGCGCACAATCTGTTTAGCGTGTTTGCCGTCATGAATATACAGATTGTATATAGATGTGATTTATGTATGTAATTTATCAAAACCGGAAACTGATTGTGGTCGCTGTTTTGCGTCGATATTTAGCACGTTTGAAAGGCACGTGCAAGCTGGCACAGCGTTACACACAAATGGCTGCAGTCATTGCGGGGAGAAGGAGGTAAAAGTGCAAAAGTGTTTTTGAGTAAATGATGGTTTTGATAAATAATCGGTCAAACATGGAACAGTCGCAACAATTTATCGCTGTGTTTTATTGATTTTAGATTTTTTTAATCTCTTTTTTTTTATTGTGAATTTATTTTCTTGTATCTAAAATACTTTGAATTGCCTTGTGTAATGGTGCTATACAATAAAGCTGGCCTTGCCCTTCATGTAGTTGCTAGCTTCCCCAAAACGATGTGTGAACCTACGATCTCTCTGCTCTCTTAAACTCTCCATGGTGACGGCCAATAGCGCACGCAAAATCCTTGTTTAAAGACGGCGAACAGCACCACTTTTGCACCCGTTATCAAATGCTCATGCAATAATAGCAGATTAACCGCAACACGCCCACTTATAGCACGTGCAATATTTTAGTCTGCACATGCAATTTGGCATTCGCTATTTGGGATCATAGTAGATCAGGCTCTAAAAGTCAACAGTTCAATGCCACTGTTGTAACTCAGCTCAACAGGCTTTGACATGACTAGACAAAATGCTTTTCTTAGATTTAAATGTCAATCATTTTTGCCAGTTGAAAAGCCATAACAGCTAATGAAAAATAGATTATATTAAATGACTTCTCCGGGGACTAAAAAAGAAAACATTTGTTTCACTGATGTTGTTCCAGCAGCAACACATTCCCAGACAAAGAGCTTGTAAGAGTGGTGAAAATGCATACTCACGCTGCTTACTCATTCAAAGAGGGCAGAAGTGGATCCATAAATTGTTAAGTGAATTTGGAAAAAGTGTCTCTTTGTTGATGTTCAGTTTGATGCAAGGAGTGTGGAGGAGGAGAGGATGCTATGCAGCAGTAACATCATCTCAGGGCTGTGTGGGCAGCATGTGGGAGGCTCCTGTGGCCTTGGTTCTGGGGTTGAGAGATAGAAAGAACAAGGTTTTTTATTTTTATCATTACATCTGTTCTATGTATGGAAAAATCCAATTCTTCTACACCTTTGGTGCCCTAAGACGAAAGACGCCTGAGGTCTAGACTCCCTTGTTTTACTGCAACTTTGCAATGACTCAGGATTTTTTTCCAGTGCATTTCTTTGTGTATTGCAGTTTGCCCTTCACAGACAAAAATAAAATAAACACACATTTGAAGTCTTGAGGACAGATACAGTTTATCTGAAGTAGCCAAAGACACAAATAGACATGTATCTGTGTAAGCAATAACGCTTTATCATCAAAACAAACACTTCAACCTTGTGAATGCCACTATCAGCCATCTCTACTGTGACTGCAACTCAGTGTGAATAAGTAATCACCAAGAGCTGGATAGTCACACTTTGAAAAATGAGTTGATTGCTGTTATCTTGGTTTCATCGTCTCATATGTTCTCAGCATATTCCTCACTTTGCCGTACCTTTCGAACAAACAACTAACCCTAACAAAGTACTTTTGCAGAAACTTTCATCCAGAGGGACGTGCATTTTAGAGAAAGAACAAACTTTTTAATCCACATCCAGTTTTGTCCTCCTTCACGGTCTGCAGAAAATCTCCTATTGGAAAAACTGTCTCCTGTGTGCTCAAAAGTTGCGACAGAGACAATCCTTCACCCGTAGAGACCAGTTAGTTTGAGAAACAACATAGCTTTTCTTTTTTCTGGTCATCCCTTGTTTCCAATTCTTTGCCTCATTAGTTGATCTGTATTTGAGAAAGCCATGAAGTCATGTCTCTGCATGCTGCCTCTGGTCGCTCTCATGGCAGACTGGAGGAGCCATTTGGAAAGTGGCCACTCTTCCCTCACCTCCCTGATCTTTCATCCTCTTCTCTGAGAGGTGGATTTCTATCACATAATGTTGACACTTTTTAACAGAAACAACTTTTACTGCGTAATATAATGACGACTATAGCCTCCGTACCACTCGGCTATCAGTGCGCCTTTATTGATGTCTTTTATCACGTTTCTCTGCCTTGGTTTTGCTATACCAATCTAGATTGGAGTAGTTTTCTTGTTACTGCTTTATTCCTAATGTGTTACAATTAAGTGTATCTGCATTATTTAGCACAGTTTGTTGTTACTGGATCAAATACATCAGGCTTGGACAGGTGCCCAGTTTGAGCATGTTGCAGAGAGAGAGAGAGAGAGAGAGTTGAGACGGCTTCTCGGAGGACAGATTATCTAATTCTCCTGGAAACTACACCTCCACTGGTAAACACACACACACGGGCGAGCACACACACTATAGTTTGTATACAAGCATATTTCTGTCCTCACATATTTACAAAACAATCAAACCCCACTTTACTTTGAGCCCTCTTGAAAACTCATCACTGGAAATTGGTTCTCAGTCTGTGATTTATGGTCAGAAACGGTGACACGTCAGCTCATCTGTCGCACACAGACTCTCTCTCTCTCTCTTTCTCTCTCTGCTGTCTCTCTCTCTCTCTCAGTCACACACACAAAAGCATTTCAATGCACAGAAAAGTGTAAACAGGTATTAACCAGAAAGGAATGAATTGACATAGCCATAAATCATAGAGATGGGCAATTTATCACAGATAATTATACTGTGATCCCACCTAGTCGACAAAATCTGTCCTTCAACAGACTGAAAGTACAAGCACTTACACACTCTGTGTGGGTTCAAGCAGATAACTTGAGTATGCTGCAGCATATTCACACAGGGCATATTGCAGCCTAGACAGTATCCAATACATCCTTTTCAACAGGGCACTGTCTTTGAGCTGTCTGTGAATGGTTCATCTTGCTGCAGTGCTGCTCATATAGCTTTTCATCAGACCAGTTCATCATAGCAACCCCCTGAAGGTTGTAGCCATGCTTGATCTTGAGTAGTTTTTACTGCATACTGAGAATCAAAAGTCTGTGTTGTTTGTGTTTTACTCAGTTGTTCACATGGAAGCTAAAAGAAGAAGTTGTGCCACGAATATCTTGATGAATAATTCAGACTCTGGACCCGTGCAGGACTCTGGAGCTATGAGCTGCTGTTGTTGTCATTGTTGCTGTTGTTGTCCCCCTGACTCTTTCTCTCTTCTCTGGACGAGGTGGTGGTGTTGCAGCTATTTATAATTCCAGTCTTCGAATTAACGCTAGACCAAAACTGCATTATGACTCTTTTGAAAGTCTTGTTCTCAGTCTTCCGCATCCAGACTCGAAGACCATGGGACCACCAGTATTTGCTACAGTTTGTTGCTCATACTCAGAGTTTTTGTCAGAATTCTCAGAGTTTCTATCTGATCTAGTCCTTAGTGCAGACGAGGTCATTGTTGTAGGTGACTTTAATATTCATGTGGATGTGGAAAATGATAGCCTAAGCATTGCTTTCTTGTCTTTGTAAGACTTTTTTCCTCTTTTGGAGAGCATCTTGAGATAACTATTGATGTGATTTAGCCTATGCAAATTAAAATTGATTGATTGATTGATTAATTGATTCCGAGGTTTTGTTTCAAGTCTTTGTATGGATGTTTGATCCTCTGTCCCTTTACTTGCCTACTTTACTTTCAGGGTTTCTTCAGTTATTTTGTTCTGTTGTGTCTAACTCATCGAACAAATCGCTGCTTTGTGTGTTCTGCGTGATGGTTCATGGTCTGAGGAAGATTTAAGGCAGAAAAATGCCTGTCATAATATTATGATAAAGTGTGAAGATTCACTTCCTTGATAAAATCTGGACACGTACGTGTTGATATGCAAAAAATGTGAAAATGTACAAGATATTGAGATTCCACAACTCTGCAGCTCTGTCATGGTCGTGTCTCTCTTACAAGAGCCTAAAACGAATATTTTGTAAGTAAAATGAAATAAAACATTCAGTCTCTGATCATTGTGTGTGTGTGTGTGTGTGTGTGTGTGTGTGTGTGTGTGTGTGTGTGTGTGTGTGTGTGTGTGTGTCCTGACTTCCTGCCAGGTTGCAGAGCAGCTAATGAGTATTGCCTATGAGAGTGGAGTCAACCTGTTTGACACGGCTGAGGTCTACGCAGGCGGCAGGTGGGTGTTATATGAGTCTCTGAGATCATTGGAGGTTCAGGTGAGCTCAATAACCTGTTCGTTTTCATTTTCTGATGTGATCAGATACAGACTGGTTTATTTGACCAGAAACAAATTCTTGCTAGTGATGTGTGGCAACAATTTTTGGAATTGCTGCTCTCTGTGTAAAATATTCATACATATGGAGTCTATTAAGGTCTCGTTTAGAACTTTGTGGCTGTTTAGGATTTTTTTTTTTTTTTTTTCAGTTTGAAAAAGGCATAAAGCTTTGCTATCTAGATCTACAGAACACCTGTTGGCCTGTGTTTAACTCTGTAGGAGAAAGTGAACAGAGTGAGCGTCAGTTTAGAAACCAGTCCAGAGTTGAAGGGTTTTGGTCTGGTCTGTTCAAACAACCTAAAAGGACAACAAAGAGGTGTTTTCCTTTAATCAATTTTATCATCCAACAGAATAAATAGAAAATCAAAACACTTTTAATGATAAATTGCTCTCAATTTGAGTTTGCAATAATTTATGAATGCACCAGTAAGTTTTTAATCATCATTTATAAAAAGGGTTTTCATCAATTCATAGACAGGAGGGTTTCTCGGTTGATTGGGAATTTGTATATACGAGGTTGATATTGAGGAGGAACAGTCCAAGAACTCAAATTGGAAATTAATAACAGTTGCTCATTTACTTTGCCTTGCAGGGCCGAAATTATTCTTGGGAACATCATCAAGAAGAAATGCTGGAGGTAATGGTGACATAAATGTTTCTGATGGCTTCATCACTGCCGTACAAAAGTAAGATGGATATGTGTGTAGTCTTACAGAGGCAAAACGTAAGTGTGCTGTGTGTTTGTTGGGTATGAAGATAAAGAGAGAGACAGTAATTAAAGGTAATGATCTATGTTGTGCATGGTTACATTTTGCAGTTACACTTATATACAGTACATACCCTTACACACATTTTAATATAACATATTGGAAAAAGTAAAAAAAATGGGTAACAATGCTTTATAGCAACAATCATAACACATTATAAAGCATTTTATCATGACTTACAAGGTCAGGTATTATAATGTTATGTTAACAACTCACTGACAATGCCAATATAGATAATGAAATGCAACTGTTGGCATTATAATCATTTGTGAGTGTTTTTAACTATGAAGCCAAAGTTTTCAAAAATCCCCATTGTGAAGTTTTTCAAGTGTATTTTTTGTAATTGATCAACTGTGATGTGTTGGAAAATCAGGGAGGAGAAATTTGTGCCAAAATCAAATTATGGAACCAAATGAGTCTTTCCCTGTTCCAACAGCAGCAGTCTCTTTGTACAAAGAAGAATTTCCCAATAGCTGTTGGGTCGTGCAGCTTAAGCCTGCAAAACCAGCGGACTATCAGAAGCCTAGTGTGACCTTTAAAGTCTGGACGCATAATGCATTGAGTGTGGGGGGTGGGGTGGGGAGATTGATGTCTAAACTACTGGTCTCCAAAAAAATAAATAAGTAAATAAGCTGCAACAAAATTAAGCTACAGATCCTTCATTTTAGTAATCAGTTCCAAATATCAAACCTGTTAAAATTATCTTTACATTACACTCAACGATTTAATCTGCTTACCCAGATTCAGACCAGGTTCATATGAGAGCTATCGTGTCATATTCTTAGTTAACAGTCTTATTCTGAGTCCATGCCTGTCACGTCCTGAGCAGCAGTAGGTGGTTTGTGCTGGTACGATAAGGACACACTGAACTATTTCAGTCTTGCAGTGTCATCCTGACTTTAGAAAGCTTTTAACAGAAAGAAATAGAGTACAGAACATATCAGAGGAACACAACTCTAGATAGAGCTTCGATTAGCATATTTGACATTGTTTCCATGTCATGAACTCAGTGGGTATAGATTTGATGCAGATAACTCAACTCTGCATAATATGTTTACTTTTGGGCTCTTCCACATTAAGTAGTTGTCCAACAACAGCCACTCGACAGAAGCTCTGTCTTCTTTAGTTGGGAATACAGAGAGTTGACTGAGCATATGTAATGACAGAGTGTCACCTAAAGCTTTCAAGCAGTTTGTGGGTGGCACACCTGCTGTACCTCTCATTAGTCAGACAGTTTCAGGGAAATACTTGAACCATGTGTTGGAAAGATATGATTTTCAGTTTTGCAAAGGATTAGCGCTGCAGAGGATGAACAAATATATGAAGCAAACTAGATTTGTAGGCAATGAAAGCTCCTGTTTATTAAAACATGTTCAAACATACACAGAACAATTATAATACATAATGTGGTAACAGTGCGCTCATCTTTCTCCCTCTCTATGTCATTTTTCTTTCACAGGCGATCCAGTTTGGTCATTACAACGAAACTCTACTGGGGAGGAAAGTAAGTTAAACCTCTCTTGACTGTCATTTTCATGCCAGAAAGCAAAGTTTCAAATATTTGTTAAGCTTTCTCTGTGGAGGGGAGTGTTGCTGACCATAGACTGTATATAGAATGGAACAATGTGACTACGCCTCCTGACATGTGAATTCGAAGCCAAATTGCTCTTGGTATTTCCGGGATTCTCTCCATTTCTTGAAACTGGCAGTTGCGCAGTAGCATTCGGTTAGTAGAGTCACTGTGATGACGCTTTGCTCAAACAGCGTATCCCCTGGACGATCTATGCAATCTTTGTACACCCATAGGCTGTATCAAATGTCAATCATAGAAAACATGGACTCTTAATAACTTTTGAAAATGGAGCTGCACAGAAAAAAATAGGACAATAACAAGATGTCCATGTTGCAACCAAAGGGGAAAAAAAATTATATTCTGTGAGAATTCTGTGAAAAAGTTTATGACCTGTACTGCAACCAGTCACCAGGGGGTGCTGTTGTGGCAGAGGCTTCACCCAAAGAGGAGGCAGATGGCGTCCATTCTCTATACAGTCTATGTTGCTAAATTAAAATTTCCTGTTTTAAAAACAAGAATTTTTCAAAATTCTTTCACATATCTACAGTTATGGTTCTCAAATAAGTCAAATAATTCCTCTTTATATCACTGTTACATACATTTATAGCTATATTTCCAAAATAATAATAAAGCAGTCCATTACTTTTGTTCTTTTTAGCTACCCTACCCAACATCACAGTTAAAACCAGTTGGACTAATTATTCTTCAATTGAAATGTCACAGAGATGTTGATTGTGGGTTCAAGTTTTCAAACTACTGTGTTGGCATAGGAGGATCTTTAACAGAGGTATAGTAGAGGCAAGATAAGATGCAGGCAGGCCAGAGCAGTGCTGTTTATGCGTGCATGTGGAGTCTTCTTTGTGCCTGTACCTCTTTGTGCTACTGCAGTGATGTGATGCAATGTAAAATCACACACCAGGGACACATTATGCTGTTTTAGGATCAGTGTAAAAGTACAAATTTGGAATGACAGCTGAGCTGCCCCTTGTGGATACAAAAGACAATCCACATCAACAGAGCAGTCACTCATGATGTTACAGCACCTTTTTATGAAATTGTATCAAATGACTAAAGCGAGTTTATTTGGGGGGGACAAATTAAGACATGGAAAAAATGAGCACAATACAAACCAGTTATAATAAACAAACGTTTTTGACAAATTTTGGAAGCTTGACTCATGACTTGTGTTTGAACACAAGGGCTATCAGAATATTTTTATTCAACTTTTGAAGTGCTGCAGATGTTACATATCAATGTCATAAAAATAGGACAAATGTGGAAAAATGATGAAAACGTGGATGGGTTTCAGATGATTTAAACCCTATCAAAAATAGTGCAAATCCAAAATATCAAATTCTGAGACTCAAAAATATTTTGGTGTTATGGAAAGAATATGCTTATTTAGAGATTTGGTACCAGAAAAACAGTTGGAGTAGGGAAAACAAAAAAAGTTGTGTAATGCTTAAAACGACCTGAGTGAACATCTTCCAACCGGTTGTATAAACTTGCATTAGGAAAGTAACATCTTTACTCCCAGGAGTAAAGATGGAAAGAGGTCCACCACTATGTGAGAGAAAGAGTTTGAAGAGTTCATCAACCGCAGTCGATAATATCACTTGAAGATTTCAACAATGTGATGGAGCCAATAACTGATACTGCACTGCTGTGGTTTTTAGGCCAGTACTACATTAAAAACAGGCCTGACTCAGTTGTGCAAATCACTGCATAGGCTGAAAAATGAAAACTGACTAACAAAATATTTGAAAGATTGACAATTTTTATAACACATTCTCGAAGATTCAAAAGTGAAGTTAGCCTAAACTAATTCAGACAGACAGACAGTGGAGCTCATGTTGTTGGTGTTTTGTCTCATTAGAGCAGAGACAGAAAGAGGTCTGTCCCGGAAACACATTATTGAAGGTAAGACATACAAACACATGACATAAGCTTAAGACACCTGTTTACTGATCATAAAAAACCTAAATAATATTGTTTCAATTGGATCAACTTCACCTCTACACTGTGTTCACTCTCACATCTCTCTATGGCTTCCAGGTCTGAAAGACTCTCTACAGAGGATGCAGCTGGAGTACGTGGATGTAGTTTTTGCAAACCGCCCTGACAGCAACACGCCCATGGAGGGTAAGTTAGCCAATCGGCATTCTTGTATGCAGCGTTGTATCGTATCTAATCAGCTTGTAAAATCACATGTCAGCAATGATGGAGTAATATTGGATTGGGGATGTTTTTCCACGCAGAGCCTTTTCTGCAGTGAAGCTAAAGTGAGGCAGACAACACAATACACCAGAAAGTAGCATAGTCATTTTCAGAATATTAATGCACACACACACACATATTATTCATGTATGATAAAAAAATATATATACATTATTTTGACATTGTAATATGGTGGGAGCCCTTTTTAACTTGCAGTAAGGTAGATTGAAGTACATGAGACATCAGACCTTAACAGTTGACTTTCCCAGATGTTACCTTAGTGTAGATTTAAACACTCAGCCCTCTTATTTTTCCTCTCTGTTGTTGCATTTGACAGAAATTGAAGCTTTGAGGTAGTATTTAAATGTGCTCACAGGGTGCAAGATCACAGCATGCAGCTGGAGCTGGCTGGTATTTGGGCAGAAAGAGGGATGTACTGAAAGACACAATTTAGACAGAGAGAACAGGCAGAAATGTTTATTTGTCACTTTCTATGGCAGGATGGTAATTAGACATCTGTGTTCAAGGCTTTAATGATGGCTTACAAACAGAATAGAAAGCTCTTCATTATTTTACATCCCTCTGCTGGTCTTTTACTTACCTTGCCTCTACGTTTTACTTTTTTTTTCTGTCCCTGACATTTTTCTTTTCTACCAGTATTTTTCTTTGACCTTCTTAACCCCTTTATTCTGTTGTCTTGCCAAGAACCAGCGAAGCAGAGTGAAACTTAAGGGTCTTGCCACAGTGAGGGATTGCAGTATAATTGGAGTGAGTGGGGGCAATGATGAACAACCTTAATGACAGCTCTAATCGGAGTTTCGGTTGGCCATGACTGCTGTTAGCCGGCGCAGTCAGCAGTGCTGGAGCTGGAGCTGAGTGCTTTGTTAAAAATGCAGCAGCTTGAATGTGATCAGAGGGGCTGCAGCGTGCGAGCTTGTTGGTTTGTGCGACGGTCATCAGGGAGAGTCGAGGAGGTGGCAGCAGGTGGAAGAGTGGCAATAGATGCTTGCATATTATACAACAAGAGGACATCCTAGATTTTTTTCTGTCCGAGGTTTAGATATATATAAAAATTCTCTCACCCACCCTTCTCTCTCCCCGGTGGGGGCGGGTGGATGTTCATCCTCTTTGGCTCAGGTATTCAGGTACTGCACTCTTCTGGGGTGAGCTGTTTCCCCAGGGATACACACACATATATATAAATATACATATACGTATATATATCTCCATCCTTACCTTTAATGAGGCCTGGCTATTGCTGATTCAGAACATGTTGCCACTTCTAAAAAGTGACTTCAACCTTGTGCATGAAGCTCATTCAGTTTGCCTTTCATGTTAAAATAAATATATAAAGCAAGTGTTAAAGTTCTTTTACTGAATATTTTGGTTGGTCACTTTCAAAAAGGGTCTTCAACGATTTCATATACTTTTTTATTGAGACTAATGACCCTGAGTCATGTTTCCTTTATTATTATAATAATCATTATTATCGTAATTCTTCTTCTTCTTATTATTGGTATCATAGTTTTGTTAAGTGAATTTAAAAGCAATAAAGGTTGATCCAGCAGCGACTGAAGTATTTTGTTTGTTTGCATGGATTACCTTAAAGTTAAGACTGTAATTATGTAAGAAGTAGTTAAAAACACCTGTTACTGCTTTTCAAAGGACAAACTGTCATTATGTTCGCTTTTTTATACAAGGGGGAATTTATACATCTCTTATTGCATATCCAACTGGCTCAAATCTGGGTCTGTGTGTATCTCTACAGAAATAGTTCGAGCCATGACCTACGTCATTAACCAAGGCATGGCGATGTACTGGGGAACGTCTCGGTGGACAGCCATGGAGATCATGGTAAGTAGCAAAAAGCTTTCAGTGTAATGTCCACATTGGAGATATTCCAGCTGCAACCATCTTTAGTGAGAAATATTAGTGAAGTAATGAAAGCATTTAGTTGGATCACATATTTGCCAATTAAACTTTATGATAAATGAATTTCCAAACAACACCTCCTTTAAGTGTTAATTTCAGTTTTGAGTTACATTAACACCTGCTGTTGCCTTCAACAGTCAGTAATGAGGATTGATGCCAATTAATTTCATGCAGTTCAGTGTCAGGGGAAAAGTTTTATGCTGTCTGGTTGATGAGATTTTGTACCCCACTGATTTGAGTAACAGACAAAAACCTCTTTAATAATAATTTTTAAAAAAACCTCACAATTGATATTTTCTTTGATATGGAAGATGAGAACGGCCATGGATTTTTTTATAATGCACTGTTATCCTGTGATAATGACTTATCTTGTTATCTTGATTTAACAAAGTTCTTTTTCTCATGATAACAAATTAATTAATAAAGTGTCCACCATTGTTTCTGTTGTTGTCCGATTCACTCATGGCTGTTAAATGTTCCCAAGTTGAAAGTGTAATGCACATACGCAAAGTAGAGTGTGACGTCTGCGTTTTCATCAAAAACCCTAGCTTGCTGTTGACAGAGGGCGTCTTAAAAGTTTCTGTTTTAGGTCGGCAAAAATGCCATTTCCATGTAAACAAGGGGCCGAAACGCGACAATACCCTAAAACCGTTGTCTTATAAATGAGAAAAACTAGAAAACAAACTTTGTTATATCGGGATAAAGAGATAATAAGTCGCACAAAAAAAAAGAAGAAAATTCATGGCTGTTCTTTTCTTCTGTCGTTTGATCCAAAAGATGAACCAGTGATCCAAAGCATTGAAACAGCACATATGATCAGTTAATTTAACAGTCTCTCACTTTGTTCCACCTTGGTCACGTAATAGTAAAGGTGTTTAAGTGTTCTTATTTAGTCTCAGTGGTTTTCGTTTTCTGTCAGAGACCAGTTACCTCCTGTTTTAACTCTCACTGCAGTAACGGACAATCTGTACAAACAGTATGTGAGGCAACAACAGAGACATATAATTAACTCGTGCCGAAAGTGATATCAAGTCCCTAACACCCATTCTCTGCTCACTCCTCTTTGCTCTTTCCTATCTTCATCACCCTCCCGTCACCCTGTTAGCACAGTGCTGCACTTGACACCTGCTCTGTGTGATCAGGGTGAAAGTGGGAAGATATCTTTGTGGAACACATGCTCGAATGGAGGCTGTGTAATTTAGATAGCATCAATAATGAAGGGGGTATATAGACTGACTTTGTAAATGACAACGCAGCAGACACACTCATACACACATACACACACTTTGTACATGTACACACACACTGGCTGGAGGCTCATGTCATGGGGTTGCAGCACAAAAGGCGACATGTAGTTTGTGCAATGATCGATGGCATCAACATTATCCTTCTCGCCCATCCTCTGGTACATGTTACTTCATGAAGGACATTTGGAAATAAGATAGTATGATGGAATTAGAACTTGAGAGCTTTAATACAAACATTGATTGGATATCTTACTTTGAATTTGCTCTCCCACAAACTGATAATTATCCCCCATCTGCTCACATAGTTGTTCCAACTACTGGGAAAAAAGTGCAATATGCAACATCAATTATTCATCTTCTGCTTTCTTTCCTCTAGGAGGCCTATTCTGTAGCAAGACAGTTTAATCTTATTCCTCCAGTGTGTGAGCAGGCAGAGTATCATCTGTTCCAGAGAGAAAAGGTGGAAGTGCAACTGCCTGAACTCTACCACAAAATAGGCAAGTATCTAGTAGAATTATGAATTAAAGTTAACAGACAAATAAACTCATACTCTGTTCATCGCTGTTCATTTTCTTTGATTTTTTTTTTTTTTTTACCATTGGATTGATTTTTATCTTTTGATACCTTTTATAATTTCCATCACTGTTACAGCACATTTTTTTCACTCATTTCACTTAATAAAACCCCTTCTTTTTAAACTCTCTGTGGTATCCATGGTGACAGGAGTTGGGGCAATGACCTGGTCACCACTGGCATGTGGCATCATCACAGGAAAATATGAAAATGGCATTCCTGAATCTTCCAGGGCCTCCATGAAGGTAGACGATCTCACATCATCATGATGGTTACCTTCATGCCTTACAAAACCATCAGAGTAACAGCAATTCTGATTCTGAACAGACTTTATAAGTCAAACTTTAGCTAATATAGACAATGGAAGCACTGTTTACAGGGGGACAAGAAGACAAAGTAAAGTATTATAGAAAATTAGTCTACAAGAAGAGAAAAGTTACTTGTTTTCTTAAGCTTTAAGTTATTTAGGCTATAACTTATTTAAGTATTTATCCTCATTTTTGCTTGTTCCTTAGTCTACAGTATGTAATATGGGGAGTGGGGGGTTGGGGTAGGTGGGTGTGGCACAGGTGTTCTCTGAACTGAAAGATAATGGTTCCCAGTTCTCATGTTGAGGGTCTTTGGGCAGGATGATGAACCGCAAATTTCTCTTGCGTAGCAATACTTACCGATGGGCACTTCACATATTATACAGTGCTATCACTGTATGAATGGGTCAGTGAGACCTGTTGCAGTGAAAAGGCACTTTTAAGTGGTTAAAAGAAAAGTATAGCAATAAACATGCACACTTTATTTACCATTTAGGATTCAATTTCAGCGGATGTGATTCAGATTATTTTCCCATCATTTCAGGGCAGTGATCTCCCTTTTTTTCTTGGTTCAATACATAAGCACTCAGTTGTTTTTTTTTGTCTTAATTTACACAGCTATGACAACAACATGGGCAAGGATACTTTACTGTATATATAGCATAATACAAATACAAAGATTAACCAGTTGAAAATATTAACCTGAAGCTAAGAAATGAACCATAGAAACATTTTTAAACCATTTATTAAAACCCCTTAAGGACAATTATCCTTGATGAAGACATTTTTTAAATATAATCCTACTCATGAAAAAGATCGATTTGTATCAAGTTTAAGTCAGCACAAGGATTGTATAAGTGAGCAGAGACTCAATGAGAGGTGAAACAACTAGCCTAAACATAAGCAAACACCATAAACTTTTATCAGTAAATTTAAGCAATAATTAGTTATTGTACTTTTTTAGCTAGGAGCCATAAATTCATTCTATTGATAGCCTTTTAAACTTTGTGATTTAGGACATAATATGGTTTTATAAGCTTTAACAACAATTAAACGCAACTTTCAGGGGAATATTGTCTAATCGAAACTCAGCCCACACAATATGCCCATGGCCCTGATGTCGATGAAACAGATAAAAAAAAGTCTGAATGATATTAATGACCAATCATATATACATCAGTCGCACCTTAGCTAACTTGGGGCACTTGGAATATTTATCTAACAGCCTTGGTGTCTCAACCCTTCTGTGACTTTGTTCGCTTATATTTCCAAACGTTGGTTTCCTGTGCCCTGTTTGATCCACATCTACTCCTTTGATGATTTCTGTCCAATCTATTTTTCAAGGGCCTTCTTTCTCTTTGCTCACTCAGTTTTTCTATTTCCACGTGTCTCAAACCAGTCGTATCAGTGGCTGAAGGAGAAAATTGTAAGTGAGGATGGAAGGAAGCAGCAAGCCAAGCTGAAGGAGCTAAACCACATCACAGAGAAGCTGGGCTGCACTCTGCCTCAGCTGGCTGTGGGTAAGACTCAACTCAACTTCTAAGAACAAATACTGTCAAAGCAAAGTACCGATTTAGAACAGAAAGATGGAAAGCTATATATATTTATGGTAGACCAAATTCAAGTTATCCCGCAGATCCTGTTCTTGTCTTTGATTCATCGTGTGAGTTTTGATGTTCGCAAAATTACCCAGACCTTTTGGTGCACAGCATTGCTATTAAGAAAAAAATGACAGAAGCTGCTTGGAAGGATGAAGCAAATATGTTAAATTGTGTAAAAAGATATCTTGTCATTAAAAGTTGGTTCACAACTTGTGAGAAAACCTTTAATTTCTGATAAATGTCGTATTTGGATTCCCTAAAACAAGCAAAGGACAGGGCTTAACAGTCTCGTTTTGGGAAAACAATAAGCAGAAGCGCGCCACCAAGTGGGCACTTTAAATATCAACTATTTTTTCTCTCCAGCATGGTGTCTACGAAATGAAGGGGTGAGCTCAGTGTTATTAGGAACATCCAACCCCGAGCAACTCACTGAGAATCTTGGGGCCATACAGGTGGGAACATGCAGGAACACACACCTTTTTTACCTGTTCTCAAAACAAATTTATCAATCTGTTTCTAGATATCTGAATCTTTTTATACATCCAAGGTTTTTACTTTTTTTCCGTACCTGTATGAGGCACTTCCTTCCTACTCCACATCTTTAATCCAATTGTTTATTATTTCCCTAGGTCCTTCCAAAGATGACATCTCATGTAGTGTCTGAAATCGATCACATCCTTGGCAACAGACCTTACAGTAAGAAGGACTACCGCTCTTAGACCAGGCTAGTGAACTTAAGGAGAGGTCAGCCCATCTGCTTTCCCAGCTACTTAACCATACTACTACTACTACCAAGGATGTGTTGTTCAAAGTTTTATGCCCACATTTCTGTCCTTGGGCTTCACTCAGCTCCAGCCTGGAACAGAAAAGCCTTGCGAAGCCCTGCCTTGCACACCGTAACCTTGTCTGTAATCTCGAGACTTTTCCTGATTCTTTGGATCAACTCTCCCAGGTTCATCTCAGGTCCAGTCCAGATCAGCCAAGTGACGCTTGACAGACTGCTTTTTTTTTTTTTTTTTTTTTTTTTAGCAGCCTCAAATGAAAGTTAATCCATTCAAGGAAATCAAAAACACTGGTCCATTCGAATACAACTATGCAGAGCTTCTTTCATAGGTCACAGCTCAGATCCTGCACTATTGTGACACATTCAGAGATCTCATTAAGAATTTTAAGTAGTTTGTTTAGTAGTTTTTCAACATACATTCACATTTTGTACACATTTAAAGTTTAAACAGCACAGTGTAAAAACATTTTTTGAGCACTTGAGGAGATTTTAACTGGTCATGAGAGACTAAAATATACAATGAAACCTTTTTGGGACCTGCAAAGGAAAATGAGCCCAACAGTGACAGGTTTGAGTATTTCCATATATTAATTTTGAACAGGTGTCAGACAATGAAGAAGTGCACTTTTTTCTTTTTTATTCTTTACTCACTCAGATATTAAAATGAGTGATACATTTGACTGTAAGATTATATTAGATTATATTAGAATAGATTAGATTAGATAGAACTTAAATCATCCTTTTGGGAAGGTTCTCTCATGGTAATTAAAAATCCAGCACCATCAGTGTGCACAGAAAAAAAAAACTGAATGGCCAAATAAGTAAGAAATAAAAATGTAATATATATATAAAGTATAAAGATATAAAAAAAATCAGATAAATTAAGTATTTACATTCAAAAGTAAGATATAAAGATATGGGGTTTTCTGTCAAAAAAAATAAAAAATAAAAATTATCACAAGAGGAAAAATATGCAGTTACAAAGGAGGTAGTATTTTATTAGGAGTCACTAAAATCTGCAAAAAAGAAAAGTTTCCAGCATAAACTTTAAAGTAGGCAGAGGTAACCAGGGAGGGGCTCAAGGGCACCTTGCTCGCTGTTGTTAGATCGCCACTATCAAATATTATGATTCAATCACAAAGTAGTGATTGAGTACATTATGGAAAAGTTTATTTATTTCCACAATTCCCATAAAGTTTTGTGGCTTACCTATCCTATGGAGGGCATCAATGATGGTCTTCCCCGTATTGAACCGAACTGAGACAATTGAACCAAACTTAAGCAATTTAATGACAGCTGGGGAAACCTGTGCAGGTGCTTTGAGTTTAGCAGATGATTAATGCGTGACACTCAGTTCAAAGCATTCACGACCTGCAAAATTTGGGCTGGTTTCTTCACAGTATTCTAATTTTTTGAATTCCTGTTTTCGTGGGCTTTTTGAGCTGAAAGCCCAAATTATGCAAAAATGATCAAATAAATAGCCTACTTGAAATCATTTAAATTGTGGTCCCTGAATCTATAATCTATGAAAGTTTAACCTTTTGAATGGAATTATGGAAATAAATGAACTTTTCCATGATATTTTAATTTTTGGAAAGGGTCTGTACTGAACTACCGGTGAACAAATCAGTGATAACAGCTTAGAGGTACTTTTAGAAAGGTGACATTGAGAAGTTTCACTCTCATCAACACCCCCTTTGTCAGTGCTTTCATTTAATTGCTATGCAGTGCAGCAAACCAGATTTCCATACAAGCTCAATACCCTCACCTTGTGTCAGAAGAATACACTCATATTGTGGGATAAAGTGACTGGCTTACTTTTCCATGAAACGTGACATTCAGCAATGACACACTGACCTGCTCTATGCTGCTATGAATGAGGCCTCAACTAGACAACGTCCTGTTAGCTTGAATTAGCTTTCAATTACCTACCAAATGTACTCCATTACCTATTCAATATAACACAGAATAAAACTGAGAAGATAGGCTGTTTATCCTGAGTGTATTAACCAACAGATGCATGTACCTAGCTATAGTGTGCCTCTATTTTCTTTTATACAAAGGGAAAAAATAAGCAACAGAGAGGAGTTTGCTAGCTTAGCAACTCTGACTGCCTTTGAAGCAGCAACAGTGTCGTTACAGTAAGGACTCTGATAGGGGAAAGAGTGAAGCATGTCGCCCCCATGTGGCCTATATGTGGAACCACTACTCAACTACAGAGAAATATCGTTTTGCAAACAAAAAAACAAGCGGACTACTTTCACAATAAAGACGTTTAATCCGTTTTCTCGCCTGTCAACTGAAGCTGCATGGCCAATTGCCAGAAAGAACAAATTGAACAAATCTATGACCTTGTGGCTGGCCATAGTTATAACTGCAAAAATTGCCTGTTAATAGCACAAAAGTATTTGGGATGTGACAAAGATAACAGTATTTATTTTAGAATAGTTCGTAAAAATGAAGTTTATTTTGACATTTTAAGATGTTGATGTTTAAAGAAATAATGGGATGGTACATGTACATAAAGTTATCAAGTATATCTTGTAACATAAGCAAAACCATGAGGAGCCTCTCGCATAAGAGAACTTCACTGTACTGTATGTCTAATTCTATATAAATAAGATGTAAATAGAGTTATTTTATTGTCCTCTGCAGACACTCATCTCCTGTCTGACTTGACATTGTCAGGGAATGCAGTTTTTACCGTTCATCTTAACCCTCCTCCTGTGTTAGGGTCTGCACCGACCCGTTTTTTATTCTAAATGCTTAAAACACCCACTTAAATAAGTTTTTTTGCATCATGAATTTTTGACTCTGTCAGAAACCTCTATTTCAACAAAATAAAATAAAAAATTGAATTGAATTAATTATAAAATGCTCTTATTAAAATTATGGCACTTGTTGTGTTAGGGTCGCTGTTGACCTGGTTAAATTAATATCTAATACTTGGAGAAAAAAACTGAAATCAGGCACAACACAGACAGTCAGATCCTCTTCCAATCATGTGAGATTTAGGAAATTCTCATTTTGCCATGTTTTTCCCTGCACAAAAAACAGCCTCAAGCATGTCCAGACATGTGAGATCAGTTCAGTATGGATGTCTGTGTGAGGGGTATACTGACAAAGAAAGGCTCAGAGGCCCACAACAAAAACTATTATAAGCAAGATTTTCATGGCAAATGAAGCTGAACAAGTTAACCTAGAGATGAGAACCAAATTGGATGATAGAGAATTGTTTTTAGTGTGATTTACAGCTGATTTAAGACACGGGTCAAAACCGACTCTTAACATAGTGGGTGCATAGTAAAAGCTAACACAGGAGGAAGGTTAAGTATACACACGTGGGATAAGGGGTGATATCATAGACTGTATATAGAAGTATATACAGTCTATGGGTGGTATGTGTTAACTGTTTTTGCGATGTGAAGTCATGCTGTGATATCTGTTCTGCAGTAACAGTGGCATTATTTGAGGAATGGTTTTATGTAAGCTTCTGTTTCATCTTGAACACTGTCAATGATACTTGTGTTACGGCCTCTCAGCTCACAAAGTTTTTGGCCAGTATCTTTGTGCGTTGTTGTCCTTGTTCTTCTTTATCTGGAAAACAAGCCATCACAGAGATCTGCAGAAATGATGGCCACGCTCCAGTTCAGACACTGTCCTGTCATGAGGAAAACTGTTGGCTTGTTGCATAAACATCCAGCTGATTTTAATCCAAGGATTAGTCAATGTACTGTAAAAAAAACTTTTGCCAAAAAGACTATGCATATGACACTTAGACGTCAATTAGCAACATTTGGCTCGTGTTACATTTTAAAAGCTTGCGGCCTTTGTTCATGAAGAGTTCCTCCACCGCATTTACATCGACCTGACTTTCGCTTTGTCATCATGAGGATACAAATCCTTTTAATCACAAAAGAAAGTCTGGAAAAAAAATCTTTTTATACCCAATCAGCTCTCCCAATTTGATGTGGCCAATACCTGCTCCATTTATCAAACGGTGACAAATCTGTATTTGTTTCACAGCATGTCCCCTTTCAATGCCATAACTTAAAGTATAAGACTGTGAATGTGTAATGTGTACTTGAATTTAAGGATAGTTATAGGACAAGTCAACATGTTATCCATCATTTTGACCTAACAGTGACTGTCGGACCACGGCCTGCCAGTGTTTGTGGAGACTGCTCCACCTGACAGAGTGCCTTGACTTGAGTACTGCAACAGGAAAAAAAAAATCAGGGATGTCTTTCATTATGTTGTCAAAATGTTTTTGAACGCACTCCTACACACATAATGTATCCTCTTTGTATGTAGTATGCATATTGTTATACATGTAGATATAACAATATGTACGTAAATTATTTGTTAGATTGTTTACCTGCTGTACATTACCTTTAATTTCAACTGAAAAAAAGCAAGACTCTCACGATACACTTTGAGTAGAGTCATTTTTGGCTCACAGAGGAGTATTGACTGAGATCTGTACAACAACTTGTTTCAGTACGAGAGTTCTGTCTTGGCTTTTATTTCAGTTATCTTCACACAGTATTTGTACTGCAGTAATGTCAATATTCTGCAAATGTGATTTTCTAATGATGCAGTAGCAGAGTCTTATTTTCAAGTCCTACCATGAGATTATCAGTTTTTCTTCAGGCTTCTTTCTCAGCTCCATTCTGTAAAACTCATTTTACGATCTTCTGTGGAGGGATAGTGAGCTCTACTCACGATGCCTCCGACTATGACTTAATGTAATGGAATGAATCTATACAGCAATAGAGCATGCCCATTTTACTTCCATATGTTCACTTGCTGGGAAAACAAGTCAAGTGGCCAGAAAAGAGAAATCAGAATGACCGGGTAACATTTTTAACTCTACAATTACTTTGATGCTATGGTATAGGAACTAAACTATAAATAATATGGTATACTGATTTTGTGTCACACAGCATCTTTAATCAGTTTTCTCTCCTGGTGTGGAGCTAACTTAGATCCATTCTGCTAAACCTGTCAGTCAGTGTAACCTGTTTTGGGGAACATGTAGAGGGTCGAATGTGTGTGTGTGTTTTCTTTGTCAAGTAACATGCAAACCATCTGAGTATCATTTCTCCACTGAGCTATCTGTACATATTCTATAAGGAAAGTGTGATTATAAATAAATGCATTGCCAATAAAAGCATCTATCTCACTTCTCTTTTTGATACAACGGTATCTGTGCTGGTCAAGCTTAACCAAGTGGTATGTATTAGGGCCCGACTGATATGGATTTTTTGGGGCCAATGCTGATACCGATTATTAGGGGGGGAAAAAATCTGATTACCGATTAATTGGCCGATTTTCTAAATTTTAAATTAAGTTATAAAATATATATATATAAACTAGATATCTATGGTATACTATATACTGTAGATATACTGTAGGCTACTGCTCTTAACGCTGACAGGAAGACCGACTGATCAAACTCGGACCAGAGCAGTTTGTTTTTTTTCCAACAACACTCCCCTCCGCCGATTGGTGCCTCCGCGTCTTAACTCGCGTTTCTTATTTCCGGTCCGGTCTCACCATGAGACATGCAGCTGCCTCAGTAAGAGAAGTAGCTCGATCACGTAATGTGTACTGTTGTTTATTCTACCGTTACTGGCACGGCTAACAGTGTAGCTAGGCTTATAGCAGATGGCTAACTCTAACTTTAGCTTGCATATTACATGGTGCTTCACCCTCAACGCGGCGTGACCGAGACCAGCACAGCGGGGAACTTTGTGAAGTGGGTTGAACTGAAACTTGACTTATTGTGTATTTCACAAACTAGTTTATTTCCCATTGCGGCGGACCACTCTCCTCCGTGCGTCCCTGAGCTGCCTGCTTCAGATCCGTCACGCTGCTGTGCTGTGAGGTAGTTAGTGGATGAAGATTGTCATGAAGTCACTGAGCCATCTACTGGATAAGTCGGGGAACTTTTCAATTGGCAGAACATTTTCAAAGTGAAACTGAACCTTTTCGTCTGCACTCAGCGAAAATCGGCAAGTTTTGGCCGATTACCGATTAGTCTTAAACGGGCTAAAATTGGTCGATTTAATCGGCTTGACGATAAATCAGTCGGGCGCTAGTATGTAACAATTCAAACAGGTTAATAAAGTATCTCAGTATCTTGTTGCACAAAGGCTTTGGAAGAAAAACATACATCAAATCGACAAAGTGGATAAGTAAACTGTTTGCTTTATTTGTTACAAAAAGACAGAGACAGGCCTGGAGAAACTCTCTTGATACATTTGATCATTATTTCATGAAGCTGAAATGTAGTATTTTAATCCTCCTGTAAACCCTCTTCTAACTTGAGTGAAAAACATTTTCGCATTTACCAATTTTTGACCCTTTCCTCCCCCTCAACCCAGTCCCACCCTTGTTCCCACCAGCTTTTTTTTTTGGCTTTTACTTGGAGCCTGTGGACAGCAGAGCTATGAGTCCTGAGGAGGCACTGATGGACAGGATGTAGTTCCTGATAGAGAGGGTTAAGGAAAAAACAAGCATTGGCAGAGATCATCATAACACACAGTATGAAATAGATTTGACAAAAATGTAGGATGAATTTATGTGAAAATCTACAGCATCACTCTTTGTGGACATCACATGAAGATGATGATGGTTTTATGGCATGTATATTTGAAAGGATACACTGTGGGGTTGAAGTTCTTGAGGAGAAAGAAGGAGGCGACAATGACAAGGACCAGGAAGAGAGTGTTGTTGTAGAAGATGGAGAAGGTGGTGGCCTCATAGTCTGCAACCTCATTCTTCTTCCACAGGATTCTGGTAAAAATAAGGAAAAAATAAAATGATTCAATCATTCAAACTTTCGATGCCAAATGTGTACAATATGTTTTATGGGAATTCTCTAATTTTCTCGATGAAAAGGGGATTTGTCAACTGAGTAATTTGTCATTTAGTGGGAGTGTAAAGGTACATGTAATTGTACCAATTTATTTAAGTATGGCACTTCAGTTCAGCGATGTTCAGGCTACTGCAACATTAGTTTAAGTTCAGTGTTTTCTCAACAAGTCACCTCAAAACAAACTGCATTTTAAACCTTTTTAACCTGTTATTGGTTTGTGCAGTAAACTTAAAAAAGTGGTAACCTGTGATCAATAATGTGTGTGTCCTTTACAGGAAGGCCAGAGTGAGTGAAAAGTACACCCATTAACTGAACATTGCACATGTCATCTCTTAGGAAAAAGATATAAATCAAGCCTCTTGCTCTGCCAAAAATAAAAATAATAATTTTGGACCCTTTTTTGTTTACTGCAATGCTTTTTTATCTTTATATTAATTATTTTCATGATGTTACCTTTCAAATACTAATAAAAAAGGGATCTGAGCAGACTTACAAGCCTGAGTAAAAGCTCACTGACCTCCATGGAAAAAAACATCTTATGTAGTGTGTTTCTGTCCCTTACTAAACTGAAAATGTACCAAACTGAGAATCCAAAACTAACCACTGTACCAAATACATGCCCAGACAAAACCAAGGCATTGAATACGTTTCATTTGTTCACCTAAATTGAGTCAGGCCAGTCATTAAGTCTGACCAACAGTCCTTCTGAGTCTTAAATGTGAGGGGAAAAAAAATATCTCACCTTTCATCCTTCTCCTTGCGGGACATCTTGCGGTTGTCTGCCTCAGACAACTTCCTGGTAACCTCTTTGGAAACAGCATCCTCTCGTTTCTGGGCAACCCTGAAGAGTAAAGAGAGAAAAGCGCTTTGAGGGTCTCTGATAAAGTGCTATATGAAATCTTATACATTATTATTATTACTATTACTATAACTGTTAAAAGTTTGAAACAATCAAAAATATGTAAGCACAACTGTTCTGTTATTTTTGCTCAAAAACTGACCAATTTATGGTTTCAGCCAACAGACAATGTAAGGACTTGTTATCATCAGTAGTAACACACACATTATAAATGTTGAAAATTTTGCTTGATATATTGATTTGTCATTTGTACATCCAAAGTTTGTTTAGCAGCAGTGGGACAGTGATAAGAGCACTTGAGCTGTAGCTACTAAAACATAAATGACAAGTGAGATAATAGATAACTATTGCCTACTATTCAGTTAACTGACTGCTTCACTGATAACACGCAAATATGTAAACCCTATGTTTAAATCACCTTTTATGTAAAAGAAAGGATTTGCTGCATGTTTTGTTATTCTTGGGTGTAAAAATAGTATCTTTGGTCTGTTAGTTTGACACCAGAAGCTCTCTCAAGTAATCACTCTGAAAAAAAAAAACTGTGATCAGCCTCCATAATACAGTACATATTGGAACCTGAAACACAAAAACTATAAAAGGTTGTTTAGGTGTAAAAAAAACGCAGTAGAACATTGAGAGTAGTGGATCTTAATTCTTACTTGTGTTTGAGGACAAATTTGACATTCTTGTAGGCAAAAGCCACAAGGTAGGTGCTGACCAGAGTCATTACAGCGTACAATACAGCAGACTGGACAAGGTCCATGTGCCAGATCCTCCAAAACAGCCCTGGAAAGACAGAATCACTCAATGATCAGGTCAGGAAATGCAGTTTTGAATGAATATGGGTAGTAAACCAAACGAATAAACATTCAACTGGGTAAACTTTGTAAGCTTACTAATCATTGTGACACAAATAATGTAACTCTGGCAATGTAATATCATTTTAAATTTGACTTGAACATGCTTTAGGTCAACTCAATCACACTTTACAGCATTGCTAACAATAGCTTCAATCAAACCGGCAACACTTACAGATGCTTACAGATCAAACTGTAAGGTTTTTAAAGTGTTAGTGATAACTAAGCTCGTACAGGGCACTCTTTATGCACATATCACTTTAAAAAAGTCACATTAAACTGGATAAGTGTTATCTCAGTAGTGTGCAGCAGCTAGCAGCTCTCATGTCTTTGATACTCACAGATGGGGATGGCAGAAACGATAAGTGCATTTCCGTAAAACAGAGCGGTGGATTTGGCTGAAAGGTTTCTGCTGAAGTCCTGAAGAAGTAGGTCTTCCTCTGACTGCTGCTTATTGCTGCCTTTAGGAGCCATGTCTGTACAAAATAACCGGCCTGTCTGCTACTCTACTCTGCTCTCTCTGCTCTCAACAAGACTGACACGTCGGTGTACGAGGACAAGAGGGACGCGTCAGCATAAACCCGGAAACACGGAGACTTACATTCTTACTCGTTTTTACAATTAGGCGACTCATTGGTTCATTTCTGCCCTCTGCTGGAGAACAGAGACAATGCATCTGTCAGCACACAAGTATGAAGACAGGATTTTAGGGAGAAGTAGTCTAGTAATTGTAGGGGAGAGTGGGGTAAGATGAGCCATTTTTCATATTTCTGATCACTACATCAAGACAATCATAGTTTTGTCTCTAACTGTTGTATCTGCATTTCAAGATGTTGTGCATCCCTTCAAACCAACAGAATGAGTGTAAACATAACTGTCTTGATAATGTAGGATGACAAATAAAAGTGGTCTCCTATGGTCAACTTACCCTGAATGTTGCCGACCGCTTGCTTCTCTAGTTAAACCAACTTTAGTAATGATCGCAGACAGCAATACACAGCGGTCTGAGGAGCCAAACAAACCTCAACCAAAAAGCCACTCTATAGCCACAAATAATGCTCAGAACAGCACCTAACTTCATCAACAGTACATACAGGGTCCCAGCCATAACACTAGCCACCAAACATCTTTTTAACTTTGTCTAATTTCTTTAGCAAAGACACTAACAACAAATCACCTAGTCTCTTCCAGCAGCCGCTTATTTGTAGCGAGACCTTGGATCAGTCCATTACAGACTACAGTGGGGTGACACAGCTCAAGGAAGAACATTTATGATCATTACTTTATCATTTCTTTGAAGTAATAATCATCATATTAATCATTTTTCACTGCAGACACGGTAGTTCTTCTGCCTCAGCGTCCCGGTCTGATTGCATTTCCATTAGGAAATTATCATAATTTTTTCATTTTTTTCCAATTTCTCAAAACCTGCTTTTCATCTTTTATCTAAACCTTCCTAAAATTTGTCATTGCATTATTTTAGACTGCAACCCGCCATTTTTAAGCTCAAGCTGCATCACTGTGTGCCCACTCGGCCAGAGGTCAACATCTACATGTCTGTTCATGCAGATTACAGACAATCAAGGAGAGTATAGGATTGTGTTTCAATCACTAAGAGTCACAAAGAGTCTGAGCTCTCAGTCTAAACTTTACCCTGCAAAGTGGACTGACTGAGATTTTTAAGAGTGATGGGAAAGGGAGCACAATATTTCCGCCTAAAGGACATTGACAGATAAACGTCTAGCCTTTATTAACATAAGTAATGTGACTGCTTACTCCTCTGCGGGGCCTCTTCTTATCCTGCTATGAAACTCCTGCTTTGAAGTGCACACTTACTCAAGATCCTATTTAAAACTCCCCCTTACACACACACACTCTCATCTAACAAACATGCCACAGTCTGTGGTGTGCATGAGAGAGTGTGACCATGCACTGACAGATGCATAACCCATTAGTAGAGGATGAGCATCAGCAAAAGTCCCTTCTCTTTCTTATCTTGTCACATGCCCACTGCTGGAGACATTTAAGGACTATGGATGGAAAAAAAAACCAGACAGATATTTTGCCCGCTGCTGCCACAGCAGTGCTTAACCCCCTGCTGAGCTGTTCCCTTTCTTTCTCTGTGTTTGCAGGAGAAAACAGCATGTACGTGTGACTGAGTACAGTGCATGGGCTTGTGTGTATGAGTGAGTGTTAGAATTCAATGCATCCAGGCAGGTTTGCGTGATGTCCCTGTCTTTTAAATGGGGATAGAGCTTAGGGATTAACCGTGCACTTCAGGGGTGCAGGAAGGAGGCAAAGAGAAAGAGCGAGGGAGGAGGAGGAGGTGATGCCGAAAGGCCTGCCAACACAATGCCAGGCAAGGCTGGTAATCTCTCTCTCTCTCTCTCTCTCTCTCTCTCTCTCTCTTCCTCACCCTCTCTCCCTTTCTCTTGCTGTTATGTGTGAGTGTGTATGTTTGTGCCAGATTACTTTGGCTTTGGTAACACCACCTACATAACCACAGGGACGAACACACACTGAACAGCCAGAGCTAACAGAAAATAAAGGGACAACACACTTGCGCATACACACACGCACACGGGCAGTTTGCCCAGCAGCATGGGTATGTTATAGCCCACTATGATCACACACGAAGGAGCATTTATGACAGATCACCTATCACAATGACAAATTCTTTCTGAGTTATCATGCCCAAAGCTAAGCTTAAGGAGCTCTATCCTTTACATCTCAGTGCCACAACATGTGTAAGTGATACTGTGTAAAAATAGCAATATTGTTCCATCAGCGACCCAAACTATGGGATCAACATCAATCTCTTGACATATAATATTTTTCTGTTTATATCTAACACACAGGCACTTTTAAACCAGCAGTTTGGCAATGTAAAATCAACACAAGCATTGGGTGATGAGAAATATGGAAAATGAACAAGAATCTAATGCAGTTAGTACAGAATACATTTTCAATTAGAGTTATTAGTAGTAAAACAAAGCCAAAGTATGAAAAGAGAATTATTTGACTGTTTGCTGTGTTCTATACATAGACTGTTTATAATATAGACAACTTGGTTCCACCTTCCGCCAGAATACGGATTTGAAGCCGAAAAGCTCTCTGTATTCCTGCGAACAATATTGCGCAGTAGTGTTGTACACACTCCACCACTTGAGCAGTAGCATTGTACGCATTCGGCTGGAGAGTCGCTGTGACGACGATTGGTTCAAACAACGTAAGACCCAGGTGAGCGACGCAATCTTCATACGCCCATAGGCTGTATCAACCTCCTAAGAACTTTTCAAAATGGAGCTGTAAAGAAAAAAAGAGGACTTGAGCACAAACCAGTCTGACAGTGAATACATGTCAACATCACAAGCAGGGGGGAGAAAATTTGTCCACAGCTCCAAAAGCTTTGCCGGTGAAGGCGGGATTTATGGCCTATACTGTAGCCCATCACCAGGGGGTGCTGTTCTCGGGGTGGCTTCACCCAGCAAGGAGGCAGACGGTGTCCATTCTATACACAGTCTTTAGTCCTGTTTTGTTAAAATCTAAAGTCTAAAGCAAGACATTTCACTTCACCCCCCACCCCAGTTGTGTTTACCTTTGTCTTATCCCTTATTCATGTCATCTCATGAGCCTCAAACAACAACAACAAAAAAAAAAAAAAAAACAACCATTTTAAGGGCCATGTGCCCATTCTGCTGTCATCCCCACCCTGGAACAAAATCAACCCCTCTACACCCTCACCCATCACATTTCTCCCTTTCACATGTTTGCTCAAATGGTGGTGTGTGCTTCTCCACTCCTATCTCCTCCATGTGTTGTGATTTATGTTTCCCCTTCGGGCTCCAAGGCGTGGAGAAGAATCTGATATGGCAGAGGTGGTGGGTGGAGGGTAGAGGTGATCGGTGGAGGTGGAGATGAAGAAAGGGAGGGAAAGATGTGTCTTTTCAAAGGATGTTGGACACATGGTTACACTTTCTGCCCACTTTTACCATAAATTGTTTCCTCGGCCTGGGGTTGCTCATTTGCATGTGAACCTGGATGTGAACATACGACTGTGTGGGGAGAGAGGGTCAGAAATAAACGACTGAAGAAAGGATGGGGAAGAAATGGCACCAAACTTGATTTTTTATCTCGTTCCTCTACCCCACTCCTCCAACAAAGACCAGGATTATGGAGTTATCTGGAATTCTTGTCCATAGAGAACATTTTCCCATTTTTAGTATGTTATTGAAAGTAGCCCTAAAGTCAAACCTATTCTAGAAATCATCTACATATATTGAAGCAAAGTTCCATGACGGATTGGTTGACACATCTCAATAGAAAAAAACTTTGGTGTAACTTGCATGTGTGTAGTTGCTTCTTTTCCCGTACATTGTGTGCTTTTCCCCGCGGATGACGATGATAACATGGGTCCGGCTGTAGGCGTGGAGGTGTAGCTGCAGACAGACAGACAGTACTTATCAGGTCAGCCAGACCCAGGCTTTGAGATTCAAAACTATTCAGACTGTGATGACACAGGCCCAGCTTTCTCTGGCTGAGTTATGGTGACCCTGCAGGCAGGCAGACTCGGTCCCAAAACAAACACTCACGTGGTTCATTCCTTCACTTCAATGGAGCCCAGATTTCACAGTGTACTCAGCGAGAAACAAAGAGATAAGATTGTGCTGCTCTGTTTTAATGTTTGGATACAGACAGAATGCTTCATGGCCTACTTATCTACAGCAAGGCTACTTGTTCATAAACGAATTACATAAAAATGTACATACAGAACCATTTGAGGGAGCTAGGGGAGTGTAGTGTGTGTGCATTTGTGAGTATATGACGAATGAGCAGAGACATGAAGGCTAACCTGCTGCCAACTTGGCTTGTCTCCGCAGCAGAGAGGGAGCAAAAGATGTTGACATTTTGGCAGTGGAGGGGAGCTGCTTTTCCATCTGCATCTCAAAGGTCACTTCAGTGGGTTTTTGGAGCACAGTGTGTAAACGTGCATATGTGTGTGTGTGTCCTTGTTGCTGCCAAGAGCAATGTGTTAAATGTGTGTGTCTTTCTCATCATTCTGTGTGAAAAGTGCAGAAGAGAGCTATAAACAAAGATGTTGGGAGGGTTGAGCAGAGCACAAACAGAATAGTAGGACGCCACTCCCAGCTTCTCTCGTACAAACACACACACACATTCATCTGTTCACACACATTTTTGCTTTGAAGATGTTTATAGGATCTATGTAGGAACAGGCCAGAGGCAAACATTTATGGTTAGATGAATACTCTGACATTTTGGAAAATCCTTCATACCAACGAAACGAATCAAGATTAGTGTTATCTTTGAGAAACACTCACTTCCATCACAGCTAGACAAAGGCCTCCGAGCAGTTTTTACACTCTTGTTTTCATTGTGTTTGATTAAAGCATTGACCGTGTGTAAGAGCAGGCCCTGGAGATTCATTTTTTTCTTCTACTTGTTTGGTTGACACAAACTATCTTAATAACTTTATTATTAATAATAATAATAATAATAATAATAACAAAAACAACAACAACAATAATAATAATAATAATAATAATGATAAAAAAAACAACAACAACAATAATAATAATAATA